TTATTTCTCACCTTTTATCCTCTGTCTATTTTACCTTTATTGTACCTTCTATAACAGTTTAATCGTTAACAGTCCAAATGGATTAAAAATTGACTTAAATCGACTAAGCTTCATCTAATCAACATTAAACCTGTTTCGACCAATCAACCTCTTTACATTCAACAATCAATAATCCAACCTTATTTTCATTCAGTTACCTCTTTATTTTAATTTATTGATCCACCATTTTTGATTATTGTTATTGATCTTTCTACTCTTTGTATGAATACAGTTTAATCAAAATCACAATTATAAACAATTAATTTGATTCTTCATTTGTTAACATTGCATCCTTTTTTGGTCATCAACAAATGGAAACAAAAAGTGTTCAATTCAAAAGGAATCAACTTGAATCATTGTAAATCATTTAAATAACAACAGGATAACGTCAAAAATTAAAGTGATATTTGAACTTAAAAAGTGCTCAAATTAATTTATCTTATAAATTGTCTAAATGAATTGTCTAAATCATAAAACTGACCAATTCTACCTCCAATTTGCTCATATTTGTTCATCATTTCACCAATCATCCAATCATCAACATTTCCTGATCTCTTCACTTGACCCAACTAGTCTTATTAGCCATATAAAGTTAAAGTGATCTGGATTACATTCAATGTTAAGATCATCAACAATGATACCAAATTGTTTAAACAATTCACCTATTAATGATGCGGTAACGGTTAATGTAGTTAGCGGTAACAGTGATGATGATAATGATGAGAATCGTGAAGAAAGTCATGCAACTTGTGAATCATCTAAAGTCAACATGGAGTCAAGATCACCACTTATTGTCCAACCAAGAGACCAACTTAATGATTACAATGAAACGTCTCCAAACTCATCAAACTCACCACCAAGCAATCTACTTCCAACCTCACCAGAAACAACAGCCAACAGTGCAACAGTATTGCTTCCTCCTCCACCACCACCACCTTCATCATGTCCATCTCCGTCTCGATCAACATTAACCAGTATGTCAATAACAGCAACAACTTTACCAATCCTTCCAACAAACCAGACAACACAATACCATCAACATCAACATCTCTATCACCCTCAACACCATCAAAACCACCCAAACCACCAACAACAACAATCTCACCATCAAAATGCATCTCATCTTAACCATCACAATCACCATCATCATCATCATCAACACCTTCATCACCATCATCGTCATTCAGCCTTTAATGAATCTTCACCCAATGTGGACGATGGCCTAACAAGCCTAACCTGGCTTCAAAATTTAAACATGTGCATGACTCGTTTAGGTGCACCAACACCACCAACCCCACCAGCCAGTCCAGTTTGGACATCAACCTTCAACACAAGTTCATGTAAATCTTTGTCCACCAATTCATCTTTAAACTTTACCAATTCTCCAACATCTCGCCATCACAATCACCATCAACGCTACCAACCTTCCAACTGTACGTCATCATCATCTTCTTCCTCCTCCTCTTCCTCCTCTTCCCTCTCTTCATCCTCATCCTCATCGCCCTCCTCATCTTCATCACAAAACCAATCAACAGCCAATAGTGATGCCTCTTCCGTCAATATATCATCCTCATCTATTCCTTTAACCAATGGTTCATCTAATGGTAATACACACAGCAACACTTTCAATACACAATCAGTTAAACAAATCAACCCTAAAAGCCCCAATTTAACTAATCAACTTTCTCTTTCCAACTCAGCTCCAGGATCAGGTCGATGTCGATCTTCATCTTCCAACACGAATACGTCCAAAAAAGCTCAAACCTATTCATTAGAGGATATTGCAAACTACAAAACAAATGGTTCAGTTAAACCACCATATTCATATGCTACACTCATCTGTATGGCAATGAAAGTCAACAAGAATAAGATGACATTAAGTGCCATTTACCGATGGATCAGGGAAAATTTCCTGTACTATCGTAACGCTGATCCTAGTTGGCAAGTAAGTCAATCTCAATGCTCAGTAATCTCAACCTATTTCCAAATGTTTCTCATGATTCAGGTTAAAATGGCCCACTCTGTTTACCTTTACTTTTGCAATATTCACCATTTCATTATCAATGTGAAACTTCATTTTATTGATTAGTTTCTTTTCCAATTCAACTCTGTACAAAATTCATCAGTAACCATTTCTTCCCCAACCTATTCATGCCTTTTCCTCAAAATATCACCAAACATTTCCATCAATAGCATTTGTTTCCATCAATAATTATCACAATAATTAAGGTCATCATATATTAAGACAACTGAATCTGTCAATAATGATTGTTGTCTTACAATTAAAGCACTACTAATTGTTTTGTATTCAAAGGAACAAAATTAATGAAACCAAATGTTGACCAAATAAGACTATTGGTAATGACTTACAATTTAAATTGATCTGGTGAATGACCCATTACCATTAAGTCCATCAATGTCCAAAATTTTTATAATAATGTTATACATTTGTTATTAATTATCCTGACCATTTAATTAGCTTTTCCCTGTTAAAACTCGTTATCATTTCAAACTAATTATCATTGAGAAGACCGAGAATCAAGATTAACTTTAATAATATTAGCGATCATTTAGACTTGATCAATCTAAAACAAATAGTTGATATTTGACAAAAAAGGTTGCTTGATTAACCCGCAATGAATTAAAAATTAAATTTGAATCAGTATAAGTTATAGTGAATGATGAAGTATAAAAAATGATTCTGATAGTCTGATAGACTCTGGATGAATAATGGATTGCATGAATAAAAGAGGTTAATTTAAATAAATCTTGAAAAATGATCAAGAGTAGACTAAATTATTAAACATTATGTTAATAATAATGACTATTATTATGGTTAATATGAGTTATCCTTAAATCTCCTGCAAAGCCTCTTCTCTGCTTCAGATTGAGATGATGATGATGAAGAAAAAAATAAAAATAAAAACATAAAATGATATTTATTCAGAATTTCTCATCATCATCATCATGAGTTGATTATCAATTCAGTGAAGCTAAACCGGTGATGAGAGTCGTAGGTTGGGCCATTTTAACGGATGACTTGTGATGCGCATAAAAACTGCTAATCGCATGATCATTGTCCTAGAGTTGATTTTTTTGTTACCTTTAAATCAATATTTTTATTTCTACCTTTCTTTTTTCCTCTCTTTCTTTCCCTGTTTCTCCAGAATTCAATTCGACATAATTTATCGTTGAACAAATGCTTCATCAAAATACCAAGAACCAAAGATGAACCTGGAAAAGGAGGATTTTGGCGTTTAGATCCAGTTTTTGCTGAAACCTTGATTGATGGTGTCTTCAAGAAACGCAGACCATCTCAAAGAGCCAATCCAAAGTCAACTTCATCCTATAAGAAAAAGGTTGGTAAACAATCATCATCATCATCAACATTATTATTATTCATATTTTCCCATTATTTTGTGTTCTTTCATTTCTTTTTGACTTCACCTTTATTTATGAAACAATTGTCACTTAAATTGTATCAATCATAACTTATTTTTAACTGATCTTTTGATGTCTTTTTGTTACCAGAATGTCAAAGAAACTGGTGAATTGGTTAGCGCAATTAAAAGCATTGAAAATGGATCATTTACTCGTTACTCGATTCACCTTAATGAATCTGCTTTTGAACCTGACCAGACAATATTAATCAATGATGATCCAAGTCGATCGGGTAGTGCCAATAGTTTAGGTGGTAATGAGGGTACAACAACGATAATCCCAACAATCATACCAATTGTCAACCTCAATTCAACCATAGAATCTGTTAATTCCTCTCATTCCAATAGTAGCAGTAATGGGACAGATCCATCAAGGAGAGACAATATTAATGGTAATAATAATAATGATGGAAATGGAAACAATGAAGAGAGCAACAATAATTTTTCAAATCAAGTCAATGATGGAAATCATTTGTTGACCAATGAGAATCATGATATTTGCTGGAATGCTTTGCTCACTGATGTTGACCTGGAATTGGTTGATCCAACTAATTATGCTGGTCAAGTGGTTCATACTCCGGTAACTGATAATGTACTTGGATCAGCCTCAAATAATACAACAACTCAATTAACAGCAGTTGAGCCTCACACTTTAACAATAGTCAATTCCGTTAACTCACCCATTACTAATGTTAACAATGGCAATAATCACCATCATCAACAGCAACATCATCATCACTCCAATATGATCAATGAAAGTCAAAGGGAACACAGGAATGATAGGTTAATCAATGATAAAGACAATCATCTAAATCACAATAAAATCTCGGGTCTATCCGAGTCTGATGTTTACTCTGATCAGATGCATTCAAAGCTATCGCCACACACCTCCGAAGACAGTCTCACCACTCTTCCTGTTTCTGATATCATCTCAGCCACCAATAACGTTGTAACATGTGTCAATCCAGCCACAAGTCATCAATTGTCCATCAATGAATGGAGTCCTTGGTCATGTTTCCCGATGGGCACAGGTAATAATGGGATTACCGTTGTTTCAACGACAGCTTCAAATGAGGTTAACAATCATTTAACCAATGAATCTAGTCCAGCTGATCTTATCTCTTTGAATCCAATCGATGGATCAACTGGACATGCCAACTTGCTGAGTTCATCCATTGTTTTAGCCAATAGATCAGGTTTCATTGGGTCACCATCATCAGCCATATTGTCCAATGGAGGTCACCTTGGTGAAGGTCTATCACAGAACTGTATAGATATTCAAACATCATCTGGTAACAATATGGATGAAAATAGTTTAATCAATGGTTTAATAAATAGTGAGCTAAATAATTCAACCAATATCAATGATAAACATTCCAGTCTATCGTCTCATCAACCTTTCGAGGGTCATCATCATATAATCATTCAACCCTGGATAGAATGTAAATCAACAATTGATTCAGTTGCATTTGATCTTGATCAATTTACTGGTCTCGATCAATGTTCTGATTTTTAACCCAATCTCTAAATCCAAATGGCTAAAGTTAATTTCAAAACTGGACACAAATTGTTTCTCATCATCAATAATCGCTAAACACAGTGAAAATTGACCAAAAAATTAGTCACTCACTGTTTATCATTTAACTTTTTTCCCTCTTTCCTTGATTGATCCCACCCGGTGCCATTAATGCTACTGGTCACAATCATTAAGCTGTCCTGTTTTAATTAATCCTAACCTTTGATCAACATCAGTCCAAGGATAACCTTCCAACCATTACTACCAAGCAAAAGTGAGAAATGATTGATAACTCAGGACACACTAACCAAGAAGATGATGACGTTAAGCTCGACTGGTTAGCGCTAAACAAGAGAGGGAAACGCGTGTCGTTCAATCAACAATTTGATCAAAAACATGACATTTTATAAACTCTTAACGACGTTTTCAATAATCAGTTTGCAGAAAAGGATGAATTGTCATCATGAAAATATACCTCAAAAGTGATATTGGTTTAATGATCAAAATCAACCGGATTTACTTAGCATGATCAAATCTTGAGTATCCTTTATCAAATCATTTTAAATCATCTTGAAATTTCCAAATTTTTAGATTGTCAGGATACAGATGGAGGATGAAAGACTAACGTAAGATTAGTTGAACCATAGCAGCAAATGTAAATTGTTAATTGTCATTACGTTTACACTTTTTTCACTGGTCAACCCAATCATATTCATCATTGCCATCCCCATTATCCTCATCATTATAATCATCAAAACAATTGTCATCAGCATTTTTCATCGTCCACTTTGATCAAATCCCGTTTTAATAATATTATGGTCTATTGATCGTCAACTGTTCTTGGCAGCTATTTGTATTGGCCTTAGTTAACAGTTACTGTTTAACTATCTTGATAATCATTTGATAATCAGGAATGAAAGGATATCAGGAAAGAGTCCAAATGATGAACAAAATGGAGTTAACGTAAAAAAATTACATTTTCTCATAGGCTTTAGCTGACTTCAGAATCACCTGCAAAAGATATTAGATAAAATCGACTCTTGATATTAACATAATAATATCGAGAAGCAATTCAATTGCTAATTCATTTTAACCTTCTTAAATTAAATTCATACAAATCATACTTCCTCTTCCTATTACCTTTCATGCTCTTTGAATCAATTTCACCCTTTTTGTTTTTATTTAGTGTACATAACTTAACTTAATTATTCAATTTTCAGACTCTCATCATTCATTATTGTCCTCTAATTATTCAATTGAATTTTTTCTTTCTTCATTCTTCTTACTTAATAATCATTTGCACATAGAATGAGTCAAATATCATCATGAAAATTCTGAAAAACTTAATTCTAATCATAAACCAATGGAAAGTCTAGTGTACTTACTGACCCTTATCAAATCCGTCCAAAAATGTCATTTAGACAAATAAATGTGTCAATTTATTGTCAATAATTGTCTCTTTTAATTTAATCAATAATGTTTCAAGGTAATAAATTTATTAAATCACAACAAATTAGGAAAGGTAAAATAATTCAATTTTAAATATTAAAATTAAATGATTCAACAATGAATCAGGAAGAGAGAAGGATGAAGATGAAGGATGAAAAGTTGGTTTCAAGTCTACAGTTGCAAATATACGTCAACCATATGGACCTGTTTAAATATTTTTGATTCAAGTTAACTGGACAAAAAACTGGAAAGTACAAATAATTAGCTGTTAAATAATTTGATGACGATGACCAAATTAGCCAGCCGTATAATGGAGATGAGGATGAAAGTCAAGAGGAACGAGATGAAAACCGTTAAGAGGCAATTTAATAGTGTAACAGGAAAAAGATGAAGACGCGTGACACAATTGCAAGGAATAAACGAAAGGTGGCCTTAAATTGTAAATATCTAGACAAACGGGAAATTATTAATTGAATCACTCAATTGAATCATTTCTTTTGGAGTGTCTTGTATTCATCACCACTGTCATCACCTTAATCACCAACATTATCATCATCAGCATCAGCATCCACTCGCCAGAATCAAATATTAAGAGGCAATATAAAAAGTGGCACACGTTTGTCTCTGTAACAATTAATGATCAACATTAAAGGTCAACCGGATGCCGTTCCATTCCTATTACTGTTATTGTTATCACTGGCCTTTTGGCTTTTATTTTCACTGTTAATCAATTGGTCGTCCAATTCCTTTAAATTATTATCAATATATCCTGATTGAGTTGGCTGTCCATGATATAACTTTAAAGGTTCGTGGTCAGCAAAGACAGGCTCTGTACAGGCAGTTGCTGGTTGCTCAGGCCTACAGATTGAGCAAACTCTTCCTAGGTCTCCACATTGGTAATCATTTTCACATCTCGCTATAGCAATTGTCAAAGAGAAGGGAAGATAATAAAAGAAATAAAACAAGAATTAATAACTGAAATAATCAATTGAATAAATAACAATAGCAAAAAAAAAGAAATAGCTTTAGGCCTGAAAAGGCATGAGAAAGGTGCTTTGTACAGCATGAAAAAAAGGTGACTTCTTCCCAGAAACTCTAACACTGTTTTTCACTTTTTTAACCAATAATTTCTTTGAGATATTGCTGTACCTAGTTGGACAAGTTTTCACCTCTTGATGTGGTTGGCTGGTCAATAATAACAGTAGTGAAGGTCATTCAAATCTTATCCATATTTAACCATAATTTTTAAAAGCAACAATACTTCGTAGAGGTTAATTTGAGCAACCAATTTTGAGCAACTCGCGGTTTAGCAAAGCTGATTTGAGCGATATCTTTTGAGCAAACATTTTACACTGCGTTCGGCCTGGAAAAATATTGGTAAAATATTAAAATGTATTGAACGTAATTGTGCAAAATTAATAAATCAGTTCCACGAGTAGATTTGATGAACTTAACAGAAACTCTAACACTGTTTTTCACTTTTTTAACCAATAATTTCTTTGAGATATTGCTGTACCTAGTTGGACAACAAAGATTTTTGCTTAAACCCCTTTTGCCCTTAAGATGCTTTGCTCAAAAAAGGTTTGCTCAAAATTGGTTGCTCAAAATGACCCCAACAATACTTACCTCGACAAAAGAAGCAGCCAATGTATTGATTTTTATAGGTGGCTGTATGGTAATTGCAATCACGACTCTCTCGAGATCGACAAGTTTCTTGGTCCACGTAAATTGTTTCACAAAGTTTATAAGCATCACCATAATATAGTCCACGGCTACGTTCACTTGGGGCTAAAAAATTGGCCAAATACAATTAATAAACAGGGAATAAAAAACGAAGAGTTATTTTGGGTAAGTAAATAGACAAAGGAAAGTGAATGTCAACAGAAAAGGGGTTGAAGTTTAATTTACCAGCGACTATTGAAGCATCTCGTTCATTTTTACAACAAATGAAAACTTCTCTGGAATTGTAAACCATTAAGGACCAAAATTCACCGGCAACATCACATTCATCCATTGATTTTTTACTGAAAGGATGCACAACACAAGCTTCAGGTATATCAACATGACCTAAAACTGGAACTGTTATGTAAATGGCTATAATTAAGGTGAATATTGTTGGAATCATAATTTCCATTATTACTTATTGACTTTTTTTCCAATCTGCTATTTTCAGAAAATATTGTTGATTTGTTAAAACACTTATCTCAACTGATTGTTTGCCTCTGTTATTGATAGACATTTATTTTCACTTTTTTTATTCTCCATTTGGGTCGGACTTTAATTAACCGTATGGTCATCGGCGATTCGGGTTTTTCCTCAAATCATATCAACTATCATCAATAAGCTTCCGTTGTTGCGTAGTTAAATATGAATTCGAAGCTTATAACAATATTTACAGGAATCAGGTGAGACTATTATTTATGCAGACATAGTGGTTAATTTTGCGTCGTAATGATGATAAACGCATTCTACAGCAGAGAGCCTTAAGTCAATTGATTCAACAATTAAAATATGTATGAATGATCAAAATTGGCTCTTCTGATTTTAAAACTACATTTCGGTTGTTTGTTAAAAAGCTGAAAGATATTTAGACACTTGAATGAATACCAAATAATCAGATAATTACATGGTAAGATCAAAACTTTTATTTCATTGATGGATATTGCAATTCATTTTATTTCTCCTTTTATCATATCTTAACTGGAAACAGATTTTCAATTTAATCAAAAATTGTCATTGGCAGCAACCAAAAATTCATCTTACTGTAAATAATATTTCATTCAAAGTATGGATTTGGTGAAAGAGCAACAAAAAACAGGTGAACATTGAAAAAATTGTTTGAAAGGTAAAGTCAAAAGATATTCTATTTGATTCCAAGATTGGGTTAACCAGGTAAGATATTCGGGTTCGGATCATGAATTGTAATTAGTCTAAGCTTGTTCTTCCTCTTCAGCGGCTCCAGTGATCATTCGAGCCCACTTTTTGATGTCGATTTTTCCACTTCCATCAATTGGTGCTTCAGCGGTGGCTGTTTGCCACTGTAAGGAAAACGATAAAACAAAATCAGTTTATGAGACAAAATGTCGCTTGAGTTAACAAAGCTAATCAATTCACATTGTGCATGAGTAACAGCAAATACAGTCAATGGAGTTGACAAATTTGACACTATCATGTAACAAGGTTGTTAATAGACTCAACCTGGTTACTTTACGAGTAAATATACTAACCTCATCAGCGGTGAATTTTTCTCCCCAGGTTGTTATAGCGTGCTTCAATCTTTGAAATGACAAAAGGAAAAAATAACAATTCTTAATTATTAATGAAAATATGAAATATTTTTCAAATTAAATTGGTTGTTGATGTTGCTGTTGATATTGTATACTAAAGGTAAACAATTAACATTTAGGTCAATCGATAGAGGAATATTTAGAAAAGCGTTCAAACTAAACCAAATATTAAATTTAATCAATAGTAATCAAATTTAGACGGAATTGTCAATTGTTGGGTAAAAATTTGTTTTCGCAAGAATATTTAATTAAAAAAATAGGAAAATATTTACTTTTATTAATGAGTTTAACTTACGTTTCTTCATTGCATTTACCTTCACCTTCATCGTATTGAGCAAAAGCATTCAAAATTACAGACTCTTCATCGGTTCCTATTAGATAATTAGATCATTAATTAATGCTCAACAATTACATTAATTTTAAAATAACAACTTACCTGAGACTCGATCTCCGAAAATTGTAAGGAAAGTGGTGAAATTAATAGGACCAGGAGCTTCACTAACCATTGACTCCAACTCAGCATCATTACACATACGACCTTAAAAACATGAAAGATACAAGAACGGTTATGATTCTACAATCTTTTTAAATTGTTTCAAAGTAATCATGATTTACTTATCATAAATTATTTATACGATAGCAATGATCAATATAATACTGAGAAATCAAATGAGAAAAGATGAAAAATTGATGAAAAAACTTACCTAAAGAATCAAAGGTTTGTCGGATATCATTTTTGGAAATGAAACCATCTTTGTCTTGATCAATCATTTGGAAAGCCTAATATAAATTAACAGATTGTATATTGAATTTAGATTGTATTGTATTTAGATGATAATGGATTAAGGTTAAAAGGCAATCTTACTTCTTTAAAGGTTTGCACTTGGTTTTGGGTAAACATGGCAAAAACATTAGAACCTGATCGTTGAGCCTTCTTCTTGGTTGATCCACCGGACTCTCCATCTTCTTTGGATTTCTTCTTCTTTTCTGTGGTCATTTTCACTTAATTTATCTGGTCTTTAACTTAATCACACAAATTGATGGTTAACAATAAACAATAGAGTTGAAACAATGTGAGTCCCAAGGAGAAGTAACCAGAAATTAGAAACACCAGATTCACTCGTCACATCGTCTTATTTCTCATCTCCCAATCTCTCTCGTCCTTCTTTCTTGTCTTCCATTCTTTTCTGGTTTAGATTAAGATCATCATAGTTCAGGTCTAATTTTAATTTTGGCAAGCTACTGTTTAAGTCTTTTATATACTAAATATGTTATCATCTTAATGAGTTTTTCCCTAACATCTTAAATATTTTCTTCAATCTCTACCTTCCAATTAAACAAAAGTTTTCTCCTTAGTCTTTCCACTCCTGATTCATTTCATATTGTCAAACAATAAGACCAAATCAACGATTATTATTGCTGACAGTATTTGATTGGATAAAGCTTGTCTGAATTGTAATTATGCTAGAAAAAAAATATTGCCATTCTGATGTCGATTTTTTATTCCACTAATCCAACATTTTTAAAGCAATCTACTGATAACTCTTTTTCATTTCCTTGGGTTTACACATGTAGTAAGTTGGCAAATATTGAATAATCTGTAATTCTATATGTATAAATGATCAGATTGATACACATTTGACTAGACAGCAAACTGATTGCTTCATTATTTTAGTTCATGGATCAATAGATGAGGAAATATAAATAGATGCAGAAGATTTCATGGTATCAAATTGCTCAATCATTTGTTAATATTATCAAAGATATTCTATGAGAACTCATTAATGAATTTTTCAGAATCTTGTCAAGTCTATAAAAAACATTAATAATATTAAAAATCTTCAAAAGTTAAAAATTCAACTCATCTTAGATTCTTGGGAAAAAAATTTGCAAATTAATAAATAACATGTATGTTTTTGGTTTCATGGTTGGCAACAAAAACATGGTGACATCAGATTATTTTCATTCTGATCTGGTGAGATTTGTATATTTTTTTAACTAAGTTTTCAAGTAAAGAGTAAATACTTGAGCTTCAGTCTGCCATGAGATTGAAAAGCTGCAATTCAAATTAGCATTTTATTGCCTCTTTCCAAGTCTCTTTGCAATCTATTCAGTTTCATTGATCAGCTAAGTTTTGCAACATCATGTTTTCACGCTTGTTTAAAAATTTTGTAAAAAATTTAATCAAAACATAGTTATCTGGATGGTTTACAGTTCGATGTTTGGGAGGAGATCACTTTCCACCTGAGATAGATTTTTTACATAAAGAAGCTAACAACGCAGATAATTGTAGTAATGAGTTAACACCTTTAACAATTCTCATATGTGTTACTCCAATTTCTTTGACAAATTCTAACTTAAGATATTCACCCATTTCATTATTTTTAGTGACTCGAAACATGTTAACAATAATGTCTTCTGGAGAATAGCCAAGTTCCCAAAGATGTGCCAATATGGTATATGCTTTGTCAAAATTTCTCTCTAAGCAATGACCAATCATTTCTTTTATTTGAACTGGATGAGGCTCATCGCACACTTTAAAAACATTTTCACCCGTAACCTTTTCGAATCCATCGTAACAAGATTGTAGATTGTTGATCGCTTGCCGTAAATCTCCTTGAGCGGTAAATATGAGAGCTTTCAGGCCATCCTCGGTATAAGATATATTTTCTTTTTCACAAATTGTGAGCAACCTCTTTTTTATATCCTCATCATTCAGTCTATTGAACCTAATAACAGCACATCGTGATTGGATTGGTTCTATGATACGCTCTGAAGTATTACAAGCCAAAGCAAACCTGGTGGTTTTCGAATAGATTTCCATAGTTCGCCTCAAAGCTTGTTGAGCACTTTCAGTCATACTATCTGCTTCATCCAGAATTATCACTTTAACTTTGCCTGGACCTAAGGTAACTTTAGTCTGAGCAAACATCTTGATCTTGTTTCTGACGACATCAATCCCTCTATCATTAGAAGCATTCAATTCGAGTACGGCATCTTTAAGGTGACCATTCAACATTTTCCGGCAGAGACAAAGAATGGTTGTTGTTTTACCAATACCTGGAGGTCCAGAGAGTAGCAGATTTGGAAAGCTTCCTTTCTCAACCAGAGCTTTCAGTCGTTCAACAACATCTTGGTTACCAACAATATCTTCGAATTCAACTGGACGATACTTTTCAACCCTAAGAAGACAACAAAAAAAGAGTGTTAAAAGTGGTACTCAACACATGTTTTAAGGCAGAAATTTCACAGAATTCCAAAACAAATAGGATAATGCAAACTTACCATGGCATTTGTAAAGACCTTTTTGAATCCATGACTTAAGTAGATCAAAGTAATAAAATGACAAAATTATGAAAATTCACAATAACATTTAATAGACTTTACCCGCGAAAAATTGGATAAATTTCCTTAAAAAGCGCATTTTTTGTATAACATGGTGGTGGCATCTCTTATTATCTATCCATATTAATAACTTGATTTTAAATCAATCTTTCTCTTTCTTCATCACACTGGAAAAGAAAAAGAAAGAGATAACATTACCGCCATCTACTGATCTTTCTTAGTGCCTTCAATGTTTTTATTTTTTTATTTTACTTGTTTATTAAAATCATGTGTAACTTGGATTTCAAAGATTAAGGCTTTAATCTTTATTAAATTTGCTCTCAATTGTTGCGTAAATGCTTTAAAATTTTATTTTAATTTGAAGTTTGGAAGTTAATTACCAGTTGGCCTGTACAATTTCTCTGATGAACTCAAAGTTATTTCGCCGATTTATTCCATTACAACGCTCATGTTTTTTTAAATCTCTTCATCGTTTTCCCATCTTTAATAATGGACTAGAAATTTCGTACAATTACCGCTGCCTTCATACTAGTCAAAGGTGTTTTGCCGATAGAATCATACCGAAAAATGCCAAGAGTGGGTCATCATTCGAATGGCTCAAGAGACAGCTGAACGATCCTTATGTCAAAAAAGCTCGCTACGAAAATTACCGTGCTCGAAGTGCCTTTAAATTAATCGAAATTGACGATAAATACAAAATTTTAAAACCTGGTGGAACTATGATTGACTGTGGGGCTTCTCCAGGAGCATGGACTCAAGTAATGGTCAAACGCTGTTATCCTCAAGGAGATCCAAAAAATAAGAATGGAACTTTAATAATTGCTATCGATATTTCTGGGATTGCACCTATTGAAGGCGCTGCAGTGATACCTAATACTGATTTTACGAATCCACTTAATCAAGCTAAGATCATTACACTTTTACGAGATCGCAAAGTTGATACAGTTTGCAGTGATATGGCACCTAAAGCATCAGGACAAGCTGAACTTGATCAACCTGGAATAATCAAACTTTTTCTTTCTGCTCTCCAGTTTTCAATTCAAGTCTTGAAACCAGAGACAGGAAACTTCCTTGGTAAGCTTTGGGAGGGTAATCGGACCAAAGAACTTTGTATGTTAATGGAAAATCTATTCGAAAATGTCAATATTGTTAAGCCACCTTCAAGTAGATGCGATTCATCTGAATTATTTATTTTAGGTACTAAATTTAAAGGTATTAAATATGGATAAATAAAGTTACACTTTATAATACAATTATTGATGCCAAGTTTTTGCTGATCTATTATGCAGTTTTATCCAAAAAAGATTGACAGAAGCATCTATGTGACAAAAACCATGGAAAGGTAAGAATTATTCATCAAAGATTTTCTTCTGTGTAACAGAAATTTATAAACTACTGACAAAACTCTGAACTTTTTAACTGCTCAAAATTTCAAAGTTGAAGGCATATTGTTATCATTTAACTCACCAGATTGGGATTTCAGTTAGCGCAACTGGTATTTATTGTTTTAGAGAAATGAATATGAGAAAAAGGCTCGACCTTGCAGATAACTCATGAGAATAATACAGATATAATATGATGTAGATGGCGACTATGATATAAATTTGGTCGATTTGTTTCGAAGTGGAATTGAATTTATTAAAACCAACTCAACTGATTGTTTGCCTCTGTTATTGATAGACATTTATTTTCACTTTTTTATTCTCCATTTGGGTCGTACTTTAATTAACCGTACGGTCATCGGCGATTCGGATTTTTCCTCGAATAAATATGACTTTGAAGCTTACAATGTTTACAGGAATCAGGTGAGGCTATTATTTATGCAGACATAGTGGTAAATTTTTCGTCGTAATGATGATAAACGCATTCTAACAGTAAAGAGCCTTAAGTCAATTGATTCAATGATTAAAATATGCGTGAATTATGTTTCTCTGATTTTTAAATATTTCAGTTTGTTAAAAAGCTGAAAGATATTTAGACACATGAATGTATACCAAATAATCAGATAATTACATGGTAAGATCAATTATCAACTTTTATTTCATTGATGGATATTGCAATTCATTTTATTTCTCCTTTTATCATATCTTAACTGGAAACAGATTCTCAATTTAATCAAAAATTGTCATTGGCAGCAACCAAAAATTCATCTTACTGTAAATAATATTTCAAAGTATGGATTTGGTGAAAGAGCAACAAAAAACAGGTGAACATTGAAAAAATTGTTTGAAAGGTAAAGTCAAAAGATATTCTATTTGATTCCAAGATTGGGTTAACCAGGTAAGATATTCGGGTTCGGATCATGAATTGTAATTAATCTAAGCTTGTTCTTCCTCCTCAGCGGCTCCAGTAATCATTCGAGCCCACTTTTTGATGTCAATTTTTCCACTTCCATCAATTGGTGCTTCAGCGGTGGCTGTCTGCCACTGTAAGGAAAAACAATAAAACAAAATCAGTTTATGAGACAAAATGTCGCTTGAGTTAACAAAGCTAATCAATTCACATTGTGCATGAGTAACAGCAAATACAGTCAATGGAGTTGACAAATTTGACACTATCATGTAACAAGGTTGTTAATAGACTCAACCTGGTTACTTTACGAGTAAATATACTAACCTCATCCGCGGTGAATTTTTCTCCCCATGTTGTTATAGCGTGTCTCAATCTTTGAAATGAAAAAAGGAGAAATAACAATTCTTAATTACTATGAAAACATAAAATATTTTTTAAATTAAATTGGGTGTTGAAGGGAGTAGCACACACTTTCATTATTTTTAGTTTATCGTTGGGTATCAACACCGTTTACTAGCATGAAGAAATCGTCCTCGAACAATTTTGAGCAAAGAAAAGTTCTTAAAGAAACTTATGTAGCTTCTCTGCAAAAAATGTTATCTTTTAGTAACTTACATTTTTCAATGTGAAAAAATCTGATCTCTTCGAAAATAACCTTCAGAACTCGTTTGAAGGTCAAATAAATGAATGACCTTAAATGACCTTTAAACTTCGAACGAATAGTCCTTCAATAGTATGATCAAGGTAAACAATTAACATGTAGGTCAATTGATAGAGGAATATTTAGAGAAAACGTTCAAAATTAAACTAAATATTAAATTTAATCAATAGTAATCAAATTAAGACCGAATTGTCAATTGTTGGGTAAAAATTTGTTTTCGCAAGAATATTTAATTTAAAAAATAGGAAAATATTTACTTTTATTAATGAATTTAACTTACGTTTCTTCATTGCATTTACCTTCACCTTCATCGTATTGAGCAAAAGCATTCAAAATTACGGACTCTTCATCGGTTCCTATTAGATAATAATCTCATTAATTAGCGCTCAACAATTAAAATGATTTTAAAATGACAACTTACCTGAGACTCGATCTCCGAAAATTGTAAGGAAAGTGGTGAAATTAATAGGACCAGGAGCTTCACTAACCATTGACTCCAACTCAGCATCATTACACATACGACCTTAAAAACATGAAAGATACAAGAACGGTTATGATTCTACAATCTTTTTAAATTGTTTCAAAGTAATCATGATTTACTTATCATAAATTATTTATACGATAGCAATGATCAATATAATACTGAGAAATCAAATGAGAAAAGATGAAAAATTGATGAAAAAACTTACCTAAAGAATCAAAGGTTTGTCGGATATCATTTTTGGAAATGAAACCATCTTTGTCTTGATCAATCATTTGGAAAGCCTAACATAAATTAACAGATTGTACATTAAATAGTAGTTAGATTATCATGGATTAAGGTTAAAGGCAATCTTACTTCTTTAAAGGTTTGCACTTGGTTTTGGGTAAACATGGCGAAAACATTAGAACCTGATCGTTGAGCCTTCTTCTTGGTTGATCCACCGGACTCTCCATCTTCTTTGGATTTCTTCTTCTTTTCTGTGGTCATTTTCACTTAATTGATCTGGTCTTTAATTTATTCACACAAATTGATGGTTAACAATAAACAATAGAGTTGAAACAATGTGAGTCCCAAGGAGAAGTAACCAGAAATTAGAAACACCAGATTCACTCGTCACATCGTCTTATTTCTCATCTCCCAATCTCTCTCGTCCTTCTTTCTTGTCTTCCATTCTTTTCTGGTTTAGATTAAGATCATCATAGTTCAGGTCTAATTTTAATTTTGGCAAGCTACTGTTTAAGTCTTTTATATACTAAATATGTTATCATCTTAATGAGTTTTTCCCTAACATCTTAAATATTTTCTTCAATCTCTACTTTCCAATTAAACAAAAGTTTTCTCCTTAGTCTTTCCACTCCTGATTCATTTCATATTGTCAAACAATAAGACTAAATCAACGATTATTATTGCTGACAGCATTTGGTTGGATAAAGCTTGTCTGAATTGTAATCAAAAGTTTAATTTGCTAGAAAAAAATAATGCCATTCTGATGTCGATTTTTTGTTCCACTAATCCAACATTTTTAAAAGCAATCTACTGATAACTCTTTTCATTTCTTCGGCATGGGTTACTCCAATTTCTTTGACAAATTCTAACTTAAGATATTCACCCATTTCATTATTTTTAGTGACTCGAAACATGTTAACAATAATGTCTTCTGGAGAATAGCCAAGTTCCCAAAGATGTGCCAATATGGTATATGCTTTGTCAAAATTTCTCTCTAAGCAATGACCAATCATTTCTTTTATTTGAACTGGATGAGGCTCATCGCACACTTTGAAAACATTTTCACCGGTAACCTTTTCGAATCCATCAAAACAAGATTGTAGATTGTTGATCGCTTGCCGTAAATCTCCTTGAGCGGTAAATATGAGAGCTTTCAGGCCATCCTCGGTATAAGATATATTTTCTTTTTCACAAATTGTGAGCAACCTCTTTTTGGCCTCTTCTTTTCTCGAGTACGGCATCTTTAAGATGAATCGGAGTCTCCGACTTTACCTCGAAAAGTTGGATAAATTCCTTAAAAAGCGCATTGTTTTGTGTAACATTGAGTAAGATGCCACATCTCTTATTATCTATCCATATTAATAGCTTGGATTTAAAATCAATCTTTCTCTTTCTTGTGATTCTCCAGGAGCATAGACTGAAGTAATTGCTCTGAGGTCAGACGCTGTTATCCTCAAGGAGATCCAAAAAATAAGAATGGAACTTTAATAATTGCAATTGACATTTCTGGGATTGTACACATTGACCCATTGTTCAGCCACCTTCAAGTAGATGCGATTCATCTGAATTATTTATTTTAGGTACTAAATTCAATGATTTTTATCGAAGTGACAGTGAATTTATTAAAATCTTTAATACTGCATCAATTAAGATAGTAATACGAAACATATTTACACAACTAATTTTAATTTCTAAGCAAAAACGCAATTACAAAGTTTATTTAACAAAAAAAAACATGTAAACCGAGGTTAACCTTCGCTTGCAAACTATGCAATTGTATTTACCAGTTTCAGTGTTGAGTCATTCTAATAGGGTTGGTGCAGATTAATGATGATCACAGATCAAATGAGAAAGAGAAAAGAATAGGTAGACATGTGGAAATTGATTTAAGGTGAACAACAAAATTAACGTCTTTAACACAACCTATTCATCTGGAGAAAGGACATCAAGCAAAGCATCAACATGAGTTGGAGGTATGAGAGTACCTGTAGGATAAAAAATAATTGAAAATCAGTTTATTAAAAAATCAAATAATTTAAAAGTAAGTCTTAAATTCATACCGATAACTCTCAATCCATCTTTAGTTTTTAAACGAATAATTTGAAGTCTCGATTGAACATGAGGCACTGCTTTTTCAATTGTTGACCAGATAGTGAGTACCGAACCACTAAGAATATGATACATTCTTTGACGAAGACCAACATCACAGGTGAGTTTCGCTGAGATTCTTCTGCAATTTCCATACCAAAGTGCATGACCACAAGTTTTTTCGGCTGATTCAAAAATATCTGTCCACAATTTTTCTGCTTCTTCAATAGTTATCTTAGATCCACGCTCTTTGAGACTGCTGAGTGTCTCTGTTTTGGTTTGTAAACCAATATTGGGTTTATAAATACGGAAAATCTGCTTGCTGAACATACGAGTACTAGTATCACTAACAGCTAATAAGATTCCTTTGCGAACCATGTGCTCCTACAATATAATTAAACAAATAGGAAGTTATAACAAACATAAATTAAAGTTATTTAGATACAAAGATTAAAATGATAGAGTACAAAGTTTACATTACGTAAAGGCTCATACAGTTTATTTATCATGAGCTTCAAATTACTTACCGAATGCGTTAAATAGAAACCTTCTTCGGGAGTCTTGCAATGCCTAACCAATGAGTGAGCTTCTTCCCAAGACATTCCTCTTTCAACTTTAACTACATGTAACTCAATTTTAGCTACACCAGTTGAATGTTTACGTATGAAAGTTCTATGTTCAATTCGGTCAACTTTACCAATCTCTGATGTTAAATCTAGAAGAGAAAAAGAATAAGAGAAATTAATCAAATTTATTTCAAAATTAATGGAATGATGATTAAATTGAATAGTCCAGATACTAACCCATGATTCCAAGATCATAACGACCAAGTCTTTTAGCTTGTTTGACAACAGCATCGAGTGTATCGCTAAAGTACTGGAAGAGTGCATTCTGTAGCTCAACAGGTAAGCCTAGGATGCGGTTAAGGAATTTCGCAATGACTTGATAATCTGCAAAGGAAGCGTGAGAAAATATTAAATGTTTATTCACATACGTTTCCTATCACAATTTGTGGCATAGACTTACCTTTATCAAGAGAGTAGACTCGAGTAGCTGAATCATAGACTACCATACCGACTCCAATTAAACCTTTCCTACAATCTGAGAAAAAATTAAGAAGTAAAGTTTAAGATCATGACGAAATGACGCTGCAAAACAAACAATTTACCTGCGAAGAAATCTGGTGATGAATAGCTCGCCGGTGGTGGAACAAGAGGAGTTGCTAGACCAACAACCGATTTCATAGTTTGTTCTAATGCTTGACGGCCGTATTTATTATCAATATTGTATTTGCTTAAATCACGAGACTCGGTTGCTCTTCTATCCCCATGAGTTAATGCACCCTATAAGGAAATGGAAATTTATAAATTCATGAGCCAAATAGTTTGATATTTAAGTTTATAGTAAGCCTTCATTGATTCTTTTATTAGCTATTAATAAATTTAATCTGAGGGTAAATTTACTCACTAAGCTTTCCAACCGCTTGGCAACAATGGAAGCAAATCGCTGTTCACCAGCAAGATCTGAGATTAAGAAAACATATTCTGGAGCATTGACTTGATTTGAACGGTGAGTTCTACCAAATTGTTGAATAGCTCTATCAGCACTCCAAGGAAGCTCGATAGTGATGTGGACTCTTCTGGCTCTGTTTTTGGCTCGACGATCGGAATGTAATGATATACCAGAAGATGCCGCTTCAGAAATGATCGCAATACGTTTCTCGCCGTCCATAAACCTTTGTTTTTCAGTTAAATTCAGTATTTCAAGAGGTACATCATGTTCCGTTCGAGATTCATATTGAACAGAACCATCTTCACTTGAAATAACACGACCTTTTCGGCCAGTCATTTCAGCAACATTATCACATCCGCCAAGATCCTCAATAAGTTGATCAAGAGTGTTTGGCGGCAACATTTCACCAAGAATCTCTAAATTATTTAATAATTCGTCTCTCATTTCTTCACATACTTGGCCAGCTTGTTCAGACATGAATTCGGCCTTTAGCTCTTCAAATTTATTAGAGATTTTAAGTTTTTTCTTAGGTTTTTTATCATTATTTGTCTTTTCTTTTTTGCGCTTTAAACCACCTTCTTTAAGTTTATTTTGCTGATATAAATCCCATGGTTCTACATCAGAGAAGTCATCACTGTCATCATCTGATTTTACTTGTAAGAAATCGTCATCATCACTATCACTAGTATCTTCATTATCACTATCAGAGGTGTCACAATCGCTAAGTCCAAAACCTCCAAGATCCATCTTCTTTTTACGTTTAGCTCGATTGCCTTTCGGTTTTTTATTGTTTTTCATAGGTTTAACCGGTTCACTAATCAGGACTTGTCTATCACCTTTCTGTTGGATTTTAATTCCCAAATCTTCTAAAAAGGAAGACGAGTCCAAACCTAATAAGCGTAGTGTCTTCTTTCGATTAGGAGCTGGAAAATGCTTATCAATGAGAGATTGGAAAACAGCTCTTCAAAGAAAAATAAAAACTAATTAAACAACCAAACTTTTGATGGGATGAAAAAACAAAGATTACTTACTTTGCTGTTGAGACAAAATCGTTTAGTTCACCCCCATTCTCTTCAAGCTGTTCAAGAGTTTTAGCCTCTCCTGTTGACTGTAAGCCAATAACAACACTTTTTTCATCTTTAAGAGCTTCTCGACTTAGATTAACAGCGTATTTGACTTTAGAGGCGATACATAAGTATTTGAAAAATCGCTGATGCGATGCCCAAAATTGAGCCCAGACAGCTTTTTTAATATTTGATTCACCTTCCATCAATTCTAAAGCCTTTTCGAATTTTAATCTTGCATCAACCCAAAGATCAACGCATTGATTGTATAACCTGATAAATTTTTTGGATAAAGGTATCTCTTCAATTCTGAAATGAACGCCAGCGAAACTTAATTGCCTAGCTATGTACATTCCTCTAAGCTTCATATCAATAGCAACCAGTTCCATTGCACCAACACCCCGTTTCTCAACCGTAGTAATAAAATCATTGAATTCAGGAAAAGAAGTTCCAGTACCCCAAAGACCAAGTCTTGTCATATAAGCCATGTCTCTAGGTTCAGTAGCTCCAGTTGCACTGGCATAAACAATTCTAGCTTTTGGTAATCTACGTTGCAGTTCTAAAACCGTTAGACCTGTTTTAGTGGCTTTGGATGTGCCTGCTGATGGACATAAGTTTTTGGCCTTATGACATTCATCGAAAATTATCTAGAAAAAGGAAAAAAAATCAATTATAAAGTGAACTTAAAGCATGGCTACTGTAAAGCAAAATTTTTACTTACAACTCCGTCGAAATCATCTCCACACCAATGGAGAAGTTGCTTCAGCCTGGTTCTATATTTTTGATTTGAAGTATGACTTTCACTTATTAAAGATGAGTATGTAGCAAAAATAACTCCTTTTTTGATTCCTCCATTTTCTTTAGAGGTAATCTTACCATATTTAAACTGTGAAAGAAAATAATAAGAGAAAAACAGTGTGATTACTTATTGATATTAGCTAAGAAGAAATTTTACAGAAATATAAAACAATAAATATAAATTAATACCTTATTTAGTGGATGAACCTGGATTTTTTTGGCTCCAATATCTCTGAGATCTCTCTCAGCGTCATATTTCAAGTCATTTGAAACGCTTAACCAAATTGCTTTTTTTCTTCCTAAAAGATAATTTTCATAAATAATACCAGCAACAGTTCTACCTTTACCAACACCAGCACCATCACCAATGAGAAATCCTGCTCTGCTGCCGTCAGGTAAAGTTACTTCATGTTGTTGGCATGCATATACTATCGCTTCTAATTGAAGAGCAGAAAGTTTCCCTTCATCGACCACATCTTCAGGGATTGCGAGTCGATAGTAAACATCAGGAGGACGAACACTAGATAGAGAGCTTGTTTCTACCACAGAATCAGGGTGCTTAAGCCCAACTTTCACTGAAGGGAAAAGAAAAATGAGAATTAGTTCAGTGTAAAAATAAATAGTGTTCACTACGTACACTTTGAGGGCATATAATCAGCATAGGTGTCAGCTTGAAATATTTCTTCCTCAGCTTCTTCTTCTGGAATGTCTAGAAGTTGAGGTGGCTGTTGTAAGCGAGTAACCGGTGTGCTGACAGAGGTTTGTGGTCTAGGATTAAACACTTGCTTCGTTTGAATTGGTTTGACAGTAATAACAGGCTTTGAGTTGACTATGGGCTGTGACTGAGGTCTAATTACATGATTGCTTTGCAGAGACTGTACAGTTTGTTGAATTTGCTGAATTTGCTGGACTTGTTGAACTTGCTGGGCTTGAGGAGCTTGGATCCGAACAACATTATTTAATAAACTATTACCGGGAGTGATCTTGCGAATTTCGAAGGTATTTCCATTTACGCTTTTCTTTAATTCGAAACTGCTGACAGGAGTAACTTTTCGAAATTCGATGTTAGTCTTTGGTTTAACAAGCAAACTTGCATTCACTGATCCATTTTTTTGGATTAATGTGTTTGGTATGACTCCGACGGTTTTACCATCTTTCACTTGAACTAAACTATTAGTAAGCCTGTTATACACTATGTAATTTCCAGTTTTTATAGTTGCCCCATTGGAAAGAGTAAGTGGACCCTAGAAATCGAAATAAAAAAAATAAAAGCAAAAATTAATCATCAAAAAGCCAAAAAAGAGTAATGGTAATGGTATAATGTGGATAGCCAGTGAAACCACATGGTATGATGAAAGAGAAAAGAAAGAGAGGAGAGTAAATAAAGTAAAAACACGATACCTTAATAGTGCTGGATTGCTCATTTGTTTGATGTAAAACATTGAGATTGTCTTGACTCGATGTAGTCTGTGAATAAATATAATAAAGGATAAAAAAACTAATGAATCATCCCAAGATTAAGTGGAAATAACAAAGAACTAGTCGATGATTAAGACAACATGAGAATACACAAGGAAAGGATAGTAGGAGAGAGAGGAAAGAAAGACACACAACAAATAAAATATAATAAATTTTAGATTACCTGAACAGTATCAAGATCAAGACCACATTCATCAAGAGCTGCCGAGAGAAGATCTTTACTTGACATAGTGGATTGTAAATTACTAGCAGTGTTAAATAACTGCTAATAGTTAACCAATCCAAGAGATGATTAACTAAATAAAATAAAAAAAAGCAATATTGTTGCTCACAACACCGGGTAGAAGCACAATAAAAGCACAAAAGGGAGAGAGAAAGAAGAAAGTGAGAAGCAAAAAGTGAATCCAGTTAGTTAAACAGGCTTGCAAAGGGAGACTTGAAAAAGAGGGATTTTTGAAGAGAGACTCTGGTTAAATAAAAGAAAACCTTGGAGCAAGTCATTTGTTTTTTCTCTAATAGATGGCGCACTCAGGTCGATTTTTAGCTTTACTTTATTAGCTTTATTTTGAACTGAAAAATATTAGGTTGTAATATTTAGTTTGCAGACAATTGCAATCAACAGATGAATTTAATCGAGAAAATTGATAAAAAATAAAAAGATATGCGTTGACCGGGAATCGAACCCGGGCCGCCCGCGTGGCAGGCGAGCATTCTACCACTGAACCACCAACGCCTTATATTAATTATGTTTCGAGTCTAAATTTAGATTTAATTTAATCGTGGTTAGTTAATCATTTATTATTTTGTGATATTTGAATAGATAAGAGTACGAGGACTCTCCTGATAGTAAGGACGCTATGTCAAAGGGAAAAATTGATCGGTAAAAAGTAATCTAAAAATGGATTAAAACATGTGATTCGATATATCCAAAAAATTGGAGAGATTACATCATAAGCGCACTGGTGGTTCAGTGGTAGAATGCTCGCCTGCCACGCGGGCGGCCCGGGTTCGATTCCCGGCCAGTGCAAATTTTTTGCTCTGTTTCTATTCCAGTATATTAATACTGATAGTACACTTGATCACTGATCTCATCATTCATTTTTGTTGAAAGAAACCTCTTGATATTCGCTATTACATCTTGTATTAGGTGCAGAGATGACAGAAATAGATCGGGTACTCGATCGATCTTTGAGAGCTTCGAACCGAGCTGAAATCGAGATATTGAGCTTCCGATTGACCTTTTAAAGATTCGTCTACTCACTAAGGATCGACAGACCCAAAAGCATAAAAGTGACCCAAAATAGTGTGTTAATAATTTTGTGCTTCATCACTCAATCATTTGAGTCAACAGTTGCTATGAAAATCAAAACATTGAAAGATCGAGATTCTCACCCCGGTTGATCTTGTGTTTGATTTTTTCTTTTTTGCTCAATTCGAAGATCTAGCTTCAAAATCGCCGATCGTGTCATCTCTAATTAGGTGTTAGGTCTTTGTAAACTCTTAAATTTTCTGCCAGAAACACTTATCTATTATCTATTATTGTAGTTAGTCCAATATAAACACCGTTTTTGAAATAAAATAAAACAAATCTCATAAGATTTCTAAATATACTTCAGACGACACATTTTTGCGTCGAAAATTAGGGGTCAATCAAATCGTTTTGAACATTACATGAATTTTTAAGTTCAATGGCCTGAGCTTTCGCATTAAATTGAATAAAAAAATCTGAGCTATTCTAAAGAAAAGATGAAAAAATAAAATCGATTCAACAATGGATTGCTTTTATAAAGTGTGATTGGTTTATAATTTTCAAGATTCACTCAACGAATGCTTAATATTAAAAAACCAGCAACTTATGAAATTACCTAGTAAATATACGCATTTACTGTCTCATTTGTGTTTGTTATTAAATGTAAAAATTATTTAAAATTTCTAATTGTTTGATAATTATTTTTCTATTGTTTTTTTATTTAAATTAGATTTGCGTATTTAGATAATAAATAAACGTTTAACTGTTATTCAAAGGTCGAAATCTGTTGATTTGATTAGACTTTTCAGGTGCTTCATATTTACTATTGTACTTGCAATTGTTATAATATGTTTTGCGTGTTTACCTGGCTTCTTTATGCTTATAAATACCAATTAGTTGAATCATCATGCTTATCTGATTGTTATTGGTTATTCATTTGAAATTTTAATATTTCCGTAAGCAGTCATTCAGTGCAAACAAATTTGTTCATAAGCAAAACCATAATGAACTTAAATTGATTTTCAGTTAATTAACTTGTAACTCTAATATTGAATTTGATTAACTAGAGCTACAATGGTTCAAAACAAGAGACTAAAAGATTGCTACAGTTAAGTTATTCCGTAACCGAACAACTAGAATAATAAATGTTGGATATTCATTGTTACTACAATAAGGTTGAATTATTTGTATTATTGCATGTCGTTTTAATCCTTTAATTTAATGGAGATGATGATTTGAAATTTTTTTGAAAATTATCGACTAACAATTCTCATCGGAACTGAAACAAACAATTTCCAAAATATCTTTCAGGTATTTTCACTTAATTTTTTGTACAACCATTTCAAGTGAGAAAGATTACAATTTAAGTTTATTTTTTAATCAAGCTCAAATTGATTTGATTCTACATTTTCTCTCAATATATTTATATATTTATATTTATAGATGATGTGTAAGAAATATAAAGATCAGCAAGATGATTTATGAAAATAGAAAGAGATGGAAAGATGATTTGATGAAGACCAGGATTTCAAATTACAATAAATCAATGATGATCCAACATTTCCTTGGTAAAAAATACGAAAGTCCAAAAATCGGGTCAAATTCAATGCGTAAGATCTTTAGGGCTCATCAAAGTTGAATTTTACAGTTTAAAAAATAGTAAAATTGCTTCCAAGTTCAAGATTGTTCCAAAAATTGAACCATTTCGTCTTCAATGTAATTTTTGATAGCAATTTTTCTGTGTTTGGCCAAAATCGATGAGCAAGTTTCAAAAGTCTATTAACTTTACTCCTCCACTAATGACTTGTACAGTTGGACAAACGGGATTGTATGTAAAAATGAATCCAAACAGAGAAATGATGATGATTGCTGGAAGATAATTTAAAGTCGATTCCATTTCCTTCAAATGTTTACTTCAGTGTTCCTATTGATTGTAATTTCTGTAAAAAATTGAGGGTGGAAAAAAATAAGATTAGCAAATTTTGTGTGTGTGTTAAACTAAATTATGGCTAATTACAGTCTGATATTGTAGTTGTTTGGATATTCCTAATGGATTCAGATGATCGTTGAGTAGTTACACCCGGTTTAACACGACATTTATATTGAAGGCGCTTCTCATCATTTCTCCCAATCAATCTGGATGCAAGTTTCTCATGAGAGCTGAAAATAAGAATCAACAAAACAAAAATATCATTAGAATCATGTCTTAAAAAAATCAAAAAAAAATATCAAATGAAAATTTGTAGAGAAAAAAAAGGTAAATCTGAAGTTCAACTCTTAACAATTCTGTCAATAATACATATTGACTTACTGTTGGAGAGATTAATGATCATCAGTGCATAATATGATACAAAATTAACCAACTAATGATACAATCAAATGACTTTGCATGATTGAAAACAAGATTAATGTAAAACAAGCAGACAGTAAACAAGATTGATATTTACAATGCAAATGCTAATTCATTTTTGTTCATCTACATTTTGGTACAAATTACCGTTCAATTGTTGACAAAATTTGTCAGGTTGACCCGCTCTAGTCCAAGTTGGTTCATCATTTTCATCATAATCACCACAATTATCGTCATTACCATTAAAAGCTTTACCGTCTCAAGTTACTCAAGGAAATCTTATGCATTTAACAGGAATCACTATTATTGAACGTTAAATCCTCTAAATAAACGGGCGTAGGTCAAACGTGCCAAAAGTGATCTAGTTTTTGGTCTTCTTACTTTTCTTACTTTCTTTCAATTGTTTCTCTTTCTTTTCGTTACCTTTACTCTCTTCCTTCCTGCCATCAATTCACCCACACTAACCTTCCTCTTTCATTATACCCATTATTTTAGGGTAACTTTGAATTGAGTTTTTTTTAACATCAAAACTCTCTTTTCTTCTTTCTCTCTTTCACCCTCCTTTGATGGTCAAGGCTGGTCACCAGGAGTAAAAAAGCATAATCACGGTTCACAGAACTGAAAGATTATTCTTGTATCTTAATCAGCCAATTTTCTTAACACACATACATTCATACATATTCTCAATGAATAACTTTGGATGAAAAGCTTTACTCTTCTTGCATTCTTCTTTCTTCTTCTTCTTCTTTCCAGGAGAAAGGTAACTTTGAGTAATTTTTTTTGTAATGTTGAAAATGAAAATAAAGGTCAAATTGTTGCAAGTTTAGATACAAAATTGGGCCAAGAAATGATTAACCTAAGAAACCAGTCAAAAAATAAGCCATTGTATTTTGATCAGTGTAACGGAAAATAAATATGCCTGAAAATGATGTTCCAACTCTGCGTATAATGATGATAATTTAAAACTGTATGATTACTGTAAAAATAAGACTAAAAGCAATATGGATCAAAGCATTTCAAACCGGACATCCTAAAACAAAGGAAATGCAACAAGTGTTTCAATTTAAACTCGAGCTAAATCTTGAAGATAAAAATAAACTGAAACAACTTAAAACGAAATGAATGATTGATTAGTTTGATTTTGTTAACACTTGACTCAACTAACAAAGTCACAGCCAATTCGGTGACCATTTCAACCCTAGGATTAATGTAAGATAATAATGTATATTCATTTCAAAAGTATCAAGTTGGTTAACCAATCCAAGATTGTGTCAAATTGTGTAAAGGCGGTTTTGAGTAGATCAATTGTATATACCTGATATCTCGACTTGAGTACAAAATTGAGCTTCCATTATATGAGTTTGTTGTTGTTAATGAGGATGATGTTGTGGTTCCTGAGCTACCTTCATCTGAAGATGGAAATTGTTTACATTTCAATTTATCAGTGATTGATTTGACAAGCCAATCTTTACAGGAGGACATGAAATCTTCACAATATTCTCGACAGGGTGGAATTATTTCATCCTCCCAACATTGTGGTTGAACAATTTGACAGATAAACTCTCTAGCCAGGGGATAACATTCAGCGTCCACAATTTGTCGATAAGGAATAAGGTCGGCTTCCAGTGATGTTAAATTCCAGTGGCCTCCAATATTGGGATAAGAGGTGTAATTATATTCCAATAGGTTTGAACAGAAGGGCAACTCAATGGGAACACAACGTCTAGGTGGGGGAGTTGGTTCGGTGGTTAAACCTTCAAGTAAACCTGGAAAGCCAGGTTTAGCTTCCCATGGTGATGGGTTCTCAAGAAACTGAGCTGAAGCTGGAAAAGAAGGCGATGAAGTATAAAAAAGGCCTCGACGACCTCCTTCCGATTTCCTTTCCGTGATGTCAATTGAATTTGGATCAATGGTTATATTTTTAAAAGATTTTTTCCTATCAGCTCGAACCTCTTCAATAAGAATAGTATAAACATCGGCTGGACTCAGGCGGGGCCGAAGTAACGGTGAAAAGACTAAATTGTAATGGACAATTAGATCATCTGAGCGAACCTTGGGCGTCTTTTCAAGAGCCAAAATCTCGGATCGACGGAAAGCTTTAGTTAAACCACTATCAGAAAATAATTTATCCAACCTGGTTTTATACTTTTTAGCCGTATCCTTGAATTCATCGGATGATCGTTTCTCAAATTCTGGACTATAAGAGTCACCACGAGTTACAGTAAATTGACCTTTGAAAACTTGATCTAATTAAATGAAGAGACAAAAAAACAAACAAAATAATAAACATTAACCATTAGATGTAACCCTTTACAAAGCATAAAGCAATGATTACGCATAAGAGCAAGTTGATGTGATAGGTCAAACAAATGGCGCAATTTATGATTAGGAAAAACAAACATAAAATTACAATTAAAGCTTGATTTTGTCTTCATTTTAAATATATTTTCATTGTTTTCTTGGGATTTTATATTTCGTTTGTCTATTATTTTTAATAATTGTAGCATTAATTTCTTAAAATGACTCAAAATTGAACAATAGAAATGATGAAAACAAAACGGACAACAGTTAATGAGTTATAAGATCATTAAATAGTGTGCTTTATAATACAATTGAAAAATGTCAACAACAGTTTTTCAGGTTAATTCACTTTTTTTGAATTAACACACACAATCAAGTAAAAATGACTACCAAAGTAAACAGTAAAGAGTTGAAAAACAAAGGGTCAACACATTAATTGTTGATCATTCACATTAATAACAAAGGTAATAATGCGAGCAGTTTAATTTTAGATTTATATAAATAAAATGTGAATCAATTTGAAGATGAAAATTATAAATGTTAGCAAAAGCTTAACCATTAAAGAGCAATAATTAAGTCAATTTCAGCTGATAATTAAAATCAAAAATGAATCCTTTTTCCTCTTTTAAAATGTTCACCTATTGACTTTTAATCACTTTATAAATGGTAATAATGATTAAAATAAATTATGTGTTTATTGATAGATGGTAAGGGTTGGAAGGGTTGTTAATCAAGCAATAAAAATGAAGCAATAAAGTTAAATTGGTAAAACAAAATAACAATTTAAATCAACATTGAGTAGTTGAGTAAAAGTGTTAACAATGAAAAGAGATGAGCAAATGATGTTGACCTGGTCAGTTAATCATTTTTGGTGAATCAAATTAAGGATGAGAAGCTTTTTGTTCTCATTTCAAAAGATGATTATCAAGCTGATGATCAAGATGCTCAAGTATCCTTTAGCTTCTCATCATATTGATCACATCCAAATACAATTGACTGGTATTGATGAATTTTGTATATTTTTGTATTATCATGCAAAGAGATGCGGATATTGGTTAAACTGTATCAAATATCTTATAGTAATGATTAAGTTAAAAATAAACTGATTATTGTGTGAATAATCCTGAATCTAATAAACGATATTTGATATTGTATTTTCAGCTGTTTCACCATCTTCTTTACAATTGGTAATGACAAGAAAATGTTAAATGTTGATTTTAATCCAGTTATAATCATGAGAAGTCACAATCATGATGATGAAGCAGTAAATTGATATCACTAGATACATGGCTCGGGTCAATATCTTGTCTTGTATGAGTTTCCAGGTTTTGAAGTTTCCTTTGGTTCTGACCTTTTCTATGCCCTTTCAAGTTGCTCATAAACTTGTTGAGATATTTATGTTTTGAAGAGAAACCAAAATTTGAGGTTAAAGTTAATAACATCAATAATGGACTGAGAGCCACAAAAGAGGATTGTCTAGTTTAGGTTAGGTTTAAATACCATTGACGGTCATTGATCGACTGACCTGAAAGTAAGCTTGTTTAGATGTTAATGGACAGTGAGAACAAGATTCAAGTTGGCAAAAAACAATCAACAAATTGGGACAAATGAAGGTCAAAAAAGTCCAACGGTTTCTGTGATTGATTTGGATTTACATTTTTTCCCCATTTTTAGCAATTCAACAAATGGTTGATACTTTTAAATTGAAACTTTTTGTAAGCTTCATTGTAATCCATCATTTAGCATTCATTTAAGGTGTTTAATTTGTACCATTGAATGGTTGGATAAACTGACCATGTTAATGTTTTGTTAATTGCTATCAACATTTACAGCTATAAAACAGGATTTAAGTCACGAAATAAAAAAAAAAGATGATGAAAATTGAGATGAAGATGAATAGTTGCTGATATTGAACGAGGTCTAATTGTTGCTTGATTTGGTTTAAATTAAGATGGTTATTGTTTAGCTTATGAGTTGCTCACAATTTAAATACTGGATGCAATTAAAATTAATGATTATTCATTCCTAATTGGCGACTTAACTGACAAAAAAGGCAAATCTTTGTCTGTCTTGACCGTTAAACAGTGAAAGTAAACTGAACAATTGAGACAATACCATTAACATTGAATTACTCAATTGTTAAGTGTTTATTAATAGAAATAAAATCAACTGTACATGACCTGATTTATTAACAATTAACCATTTCACGAGATAATAATAGAGAGGCCAGAATAAGTGGTTCAGTTTAAATGCGAAAGTTAACACAATCTATTGATTTAATTGCAAGACATTCACTCCTAAACCTGGAGACTCTATTTAGAGCAGCTTCTTGACCAAATAAAGTCCAAAGTGATGAAAATGTTCAACATTGATAACAATTAACTGTAAACACTGTTCTTAACACTTTGGTAATCATTGTTACAACTATAATGTTGTTTTGTTGTTGATTATAATTGCTGAATAGTTTCTGTTTATTTCAATTCATTTCCTAACTCGATATGATTTTACTGTTGATTTAAATTATTGTTGGTTAACAGTTAAGCAAAACACATACAAATGCACAATAATGGCAATAATATCAAAGAGAACCATTAAAGTTCATGAACTGATCATCATTCAGTATGATAATGGATAACCTCAAGATCCTTGAAGGCATGTAATTCGCACCCTTACAATTGAACATCAATGAGCATTTGTTTCCTAACAATTTATGTTGATCTTTTAATTGTTGTTTTACCATTTGATCATTTTACCTTCAATCTTCCAATGATCTTCCTACTTTTTCTTCCTTCTCCTTTAACATGAAAACCAACCTACTGTTTGTTTCCTCAAACACTTGCACCTTAACTCAATCAATAACAATATACAATAACAAGCAACACCAAAAACATCACCAAAACAAACAGATAATACAATGATCCAATGAATCAACACCAACAAGCTAATCAAGTGGACCAGCCACGCGTTAATTTTGTTTGTTTTTCCAACAATTATTGTAAATTGTGATCATTTCATCAACTTTCATCGGCTCAATATGATAACAAATAGGTTTAACAATGAAAATGTTTCTTTGAGCGTAAATTGTGAAAACAATGTAAAAATTGGGTTCATTTTTGGGTTTAATTTCAAGTTATTTAAACTCAATTTTTTGATTAAATCAACAAAAAGGTCAAACTTACCTTTAAGTAAAGCATCTTCATATGAACGAACTGCAAGATTGAAACAAAATAACAACAAAAATTAGTAGTTGGTTCAATTGTTTAAGATTAGGTTAGGTTATTAGATTAATTAATTGAAAATCAATAACAGTTGTTAACTAATTATGGGTCAGCTTAACCTGCAAATCAGGAGCATAAAAATTAGCAATAATTTAAGGTAATAATTAAGTTAAAAGGAGAAGCAATAAAAGATGTTAAAACTATAATAAAGTGCATTTTTTGAATACATTTAGTTTCGTCATTATCATCTAATTTTCAATGAATTAACATAATTTTGCATATTAAATGTAATATTAGTTGCAACGGAATCATCAAATTACGCTATTTAAACTATTGCTTTTGTCTGACATTGTTGACGGAAGTTAACTTTTGTCATGTAATCATCTTGTTCATGAGTTTAGGGTTAACATTTCATCTTTTCACTAATTTTTTGTGTTTGATTAACCAAAGAGCACAAGTCAACAAAGGTTAACGTAAACTCATCATTAAACAATTGAAAAACAGTAAATTATTAACGTTTGTTGCCAAGACAATGGTTGACCCAATGGCTTGCAATTTCACCAACTAACATCGTTAACAGAAACAATTACATCTTTAAGATGACCAAATAACCATCATTTTAATTAACAGTCTAAGTGACAATTTCAACAACTTATTGCTAACAATCAACTTGTAAGTGTAACTCCAGGTTATGAAATGTTTGTAAACTCATCAAAAAGCTGAATAAATAATCAAAGTTAGAAATATTTTGAAATGATTTGTCAATGAAATTGATTTCAAAGACCATCAAAGTAATGACCAAAAACTGTTTATAAATGTCTAAGTCTTATGTCACTCAATGAAAATGATGATTGAGTTGAGACTCAAGTTTGAACTGAACGTTTGGTCATCTCTAAGCTTGAAATGCGTTTTGAAAGCTGTAAGGTTGAATATTGGAAGTGATTGAGGTAATCATGATTGGAATAAATGTTTACAATGAAATGATACTCACGTCCATAAAAGATTCCTGATGAGGCTCCAATGGATATAAGAAGTATGGCAATAAATACACATATACAAGTTGATGGTGTACATCCTTCAGTTTTGGTGAATTTAATCTCGTGTTCACCTGAAACAACGAGATTCCCTGTTTCAGAGGAAACTATTTTATTACCATTTGAGGGTGGACCATCAGAGGAATAGGTTGACATGGGGGACCCATTATGACCTGATAATAACGTTTGCTGGTTTGATTGTGAAAGTTGATGTTGTTGTTGTGAGAGTGATTGATGAGATTGAAGTGTTGATGTTTGATGAAGTTGGGAATTGGTTGAAACCTCTGAAACCTTAATCTCAGTGTTAACCACCATTGGCGAGGTTTCCCGTTTACTGATTAAACTATGAGCATGTGGAGGTGGGATTGAATATTGTTGACCAGTTACACTTTGACCGCCATTCTTATTAACTTGACGAGCAATCAATTTATCCATAATTAACTATTTGAACGATCCAACAAAAAACCAAACAAAAAAAAACCAACAAAATATGATTCAATTAAAGTCCAAAAATCTGAAATGAAACACAAACAAAACATTAAGATTCAATACTTGATAACATAAATCATCATATTAACAATTTAATAGATTTACACTTAAACTCGTAAATCAAAAATCGTAATTTTCAAGTTTACTCTTCAATTGCAATCATTGAGCAAATCATTTCGATCAATTCTTAATAAATCTTGAAAGTTGTGCGCTTTATTGATATTGTAATTTTCACTCATCAATAGTTTAATAGTTAAATGTAATGAAAAATGCGACTAAATGACTATTAAAGTCTTCCTGACAACCAGACAAGAGTTTACTGAATCAAAGAGGAATCAAGTTCAATCAAATAAACAATATTGACCTGAATTTGGGTTTAAAATTGTAATAAGGAACAACTATAAAGCTTAATCATGATTCTCATCATCATGTTAAGGTCATAAAGTAAGCAAAACCAAATGAGTTCATACAAACAAACAAAAAAAGGTTGAATCGGAAACTGATTACTAATATTAGATGTTATAACTAACTTTAGAGATGACAAAGGTTAAGATTGGCAAAAAAAACGGTAAATGTTCAATAGCAAGTTAATCAACTTCTAATGGTTAACAACAATTACGAGCTGTCAATAATTCTCATACTGTGAATAGTTGATTGTTGCTGTTTAACTTGAACCAAATGTTTTCGTTGTTACACACATTTAACAATCAACATCTCAACGGGATAACAATTAAAGGTGAAAATGTAAAAATAGTTGACACAAGTGTTGAACAATTTTTTAATTACAATCAAATGACTATGCAAATTGACCTTTATTGATTCATTGGACAATTTACATTTTAACCAATTAAGAAACTAGGTTTTGATTCAAAGGCTTCAGTTTGCATTATCAACTATTAGACAGTTGATTAAAGTTAAAAATATATTTCAATTGATGGAATCATAAATAATGATAATATCCATGATTATTTAATTTGTAGGTTTCCATTTGAAATGGAAAGGATATTGAGCGGTATTTCAACTGAACGTGCACTTGAACACCTTTCATGATAATGATGAATAAGATTCTCTGAATGTTGATAATGTTCAGAATGAAAAGGAACAAGTTTTCACCTTTTTTACTTTTTATCACTTAAAAATTCATATTCATTTCATCACGATTCACCGAAGTAGCGATAGCAAGGCCATTATAATTCACTGAAATATAACAAGATTTGACCATCTTTCATCTTTATCCTCATCTTGTTGCTCAAAATAACAATACACATGTTAATAGGTCAACATCAGGTAAAGTTAAGTAACATTGAAGGACAATAATAAAGATTAATGTTGATAGGTTTTTCGGTTGATTTGGTTGATAATGAAGAAGATGAAAAATGAAGTAAAAAGTGAAACAATCATCAAGTTTTAATCGACATTGTTAGCTGAACCCGTTGATCCAGAATTATCATGAAAAGTATAAAGATTTTGCCAAGAGTTGAACAAAATGAAAACAAAAAGCATGACATGAAAAGTATATCAATATTGTAACATCAAGTTCATTTTGTCTTGTTTACAGAAAAGCAAATATTCAGATTGAATTCACTCCTCAATCTGTATTGTTATTGGTAGACATCAATACAAGTATCAAGTGAATAGTGAATGAAATAATGGAGATAAAACTGTGAATAAATAAGGAAGTTTCAAGTTGATTACAATTGTCAGACAAAAAGTGGTTAAAAGCTTATAAGATTAACAATCAAAGTAACGGGCAAACACAACCATTGTTTTATCCCAAGCAAATCGGTTAAGGCCTATTTTACCGTCTCTCAACTGGTTAATAAATTTTGCGTTTTTCAACTCAAGATTGGCGTTTTTTTCTTGCTTCTCCTGTTCATAAATGTGGCAAAACAAAACACAAAATGTTTTCCTTTTTTCATTTCTTGATTGATTGAATGAGATGCGTGAAAATACTGTTACTAATATGGTCTGACCTTTAAGGGTTAAGCCCAAGTTGTTGTTCAACTGATACTTTTTCATGAACCCCTTTTAATGCAAACATTTTGTGTTTTGTTTATCAACCATTTCTAAGCATCTAATAACTGCAAACTGTAAAAATAACAAGCAACATTTTGGGTTCAATTATTTTTGTCTTTTCATGTTTATCTTTGCAAAAGCAGTTGATACTTTGGTTGGTTTGTAAACAACAAAAGTCCTTTTTAATGGTAACATTAAGATGTTTCTCCAGGTAAACCTCAACAGGATATATTGTATTCAAATGGCGACTCAATGAGACTCATGAACGATTCAAGAGATTTACATTGAAATATCATTGAAATGAAAATGGTAATGAGCAAAATTTGATTGTAAAGGATTACACTAATGGCTTGTTGTAAGATTAACGATTAGGATTAAATGAGCGTCAAATCATTTGGCATCGATCATCAAAAATTTTATTCAATTGGAAAAGTAACAGTTTTTTTGATTATCTCAATAAAGTATTTTATAAGGCTTTGAAAAAAAAGGTTTATCAAAAAGCATCTAACCTTGCAATCAGGCCAACCTCTGCATGAATCTTTCTTTTAATATCTTTCATTGAGCATTTTATTATTTGCGTGATTATCATTAGCACTATCATTGATCGAATGATTGAATTTAAATTTATTCAATAAACGGATTGACTGGTAAAATTGAGCTTCAAATTGTAATCTTTCAATTTTCCATTTCATCTGTAACATTTGATTTACTTTTCACACATTTTATTTCATCAATTTGATTTGCTGAATTCATTGTCAATCAATTATCACTATTGTTATGCATTGTTAAACTATACAATTATCAGAATCTTTGACCACTGCAGAAACCTGAAAAACCTGGACATGTAACAATGTTTTGGTAACGTTTGGGTTAGATTAGTATGTTGAGTAAATGAGTTAGCAATCAATTTGCAAGGCTAAACTTTGGGTTAATACTGGTACTAACTAGAAGCTTGAAGATTTAGATTAATGGTGGAGCTTGAAAATTATTGAAAGATTAAATTGGATACATGATTATGGGTTGGTAAAGCTATTAACTTTGTAATATGGTTTTCCACTTAAAACATTGTGCAGTTGAGCAATTTACAAAATACAAAATAACCTTTAAATTACTGAGTTGCTCAGCTTGTAAATAGCCTAAAATTTTGAACCAAATAAACAAGTAACAGATGAAGTGAAAATTGATGAAAGAATGAGAAACGGTTTACATTTCCTGATAAATCTATTTATGCAATGGACATACCTTTAGATTCATGGTGGACATGGAGATATGTGAGTGTGTCAATTAAAGTCCGTGGTTGATTGTAAAACAACAATTAAAAATAGGCAGAGAAAACACTTGAAGCTCGTTTATGTTGATGTAATGTTAAAACAAAACGGTTGTTACGGTAAATGCAAGTAATGGTGAAGACATGGACATGTATTTATCTTGGACAGCAAAGTATTAATAAATCCATTTTGGTACTCATAATGAACACTTGGATGAGAAGGGAACACAAATCAACAAAAAGTTATCACAATAATAAACCAAACTAAAGATAATTGGAATGAGAATAATGAAGAAAAATGAGATTTAAAAAGGTGAGAAAATGTTCACAAGATTAGTATTGGACAAATACTTATTGAAGAAAGGAAAAGAAAAATGTTTCAAAAAACGGTTAATCTGATCAATCAGATTAAATAAATAAAACTAATTGTTCAAATTTAAACTAATAAACAGCAGTTATTAACATTAAGATAAGGTTACTCTCAGAACAACAATCAAGTAAATGAATTCAAAGGTAAAAGTCACTTTTCGCTCGGCAAGTTGAGTTGAAGTTTAGTCACTTTTTAACGCGCCATCTTGTGTTGACTTAAAACCTTAATCAAATTGTAACTCTTGAGTAGCTTTTAAAGTGGATTCAAATTGTGAAGGTTTCTTTGGTAAATTATTAAATTTTAACTCGTGTTAAATACCAAAAGATAACCATTTATTGGACGGAAATACTTTCGGAAATGTGTTCAATTAAGTGTACAACAAATTAACCATTTAATCGTCAGATTGTCTTGACTGTATTTGAGAGTTGTTTTGATTTTTGTTGAAACATTTCCTACTGGATATAAGGTTAGTTTTTTTGTTATAACAATAGTATTTACGAAGTTTCCGATGTAACAGTTAAATTAAGTGACCACTGTAAATTACCTAATATTAGCAAATGAACACGCGATGCTAAATAACTCTACTGATGAAATAGTTACCTATTTAAACGGCAAAACAAATCTTGACTGGCTTTACATGCAATGTTACATATTTTCTTGTTACAGAAACATCAGAACATCAATATTTTTTAAGGATTAAATTGTCAATAATATATTCGGTGATAATGGAAATAATAATAATAATTGTACACGAATGAGACTATAGTTAAGTAGGAAAGGTAAAAAAAGCATAGTCATAATAATATATTACAAAGCATGACAAAGAAAATAAATGGAGTAAAAAAGCGAAAGGTGAAAAGGAAAAGATGATGATGATGAGAAAAATAAAAGGAGTTTCTTTATCACTAGGAATGCATCATTGATTCTTGTAGAGCACTTTTAGAATATGTTTCAAGAGAAAAGGAAAATGAGAAAAAAAATGAGAATAAGTTGCAAAAGAATGTGAATAACAAGGTTTCATTGGTGTATCCGTTGTCGTTCATTTCTTGTTTTTGTTTATGTCTTGGTGTGAAAAATTTTTCCTCAGAAAATATTTCTCCTTTTTCTCCTTCTGCTTGGATTTAAGGGTGACTCTGACCTTTGACTTTTCCAGGTTGAGGGTAAATTTCTGTATAAAAAGTAAACATTATGAATATATGGCCAATATGTTGAGCCTTTGGTACAGGTAAGGTTGAATTTGTGTATAATTACCTCGGCAAACATATGTTATTGAGTGTGTTTCGCATATAATTACTACTTCTGGTTATCCTGTTATTAAGATTGAAAAATCAAGATTGAACCTTCTTGTTTGCAGATGTATCAGCAATGGTTGAAAGGCCAAATAGTTGACTAATGTTGATCATGATTACGGTAAGCTATGGTGGATTAGATGAAACGGCAGAGTCAATTGAGTGACCAAAAAAAACAGGTCTTGCACTTTTTCCCGGTGAATGGATTCTCTTTTCTGCTTGAAATCAATTTTTAACAATTTGACTTGTTCCATATATTACAGGTCTCACTTTTTCATTTAGACTCTGCGGTGATAATTCAATTTGAGCTCTTCTGTGGAAGAAAGTAATCATTTTAATTGAGAAAGAAAAGGATAAATTGATTTTGAAGTTCAAGTTAACTAACCTTCATGAAGTTTTCCAGTTTTTTTGGGTTCAATGCAAGTCTAACATTTATCAAACTCATTTTGATCTAGGGTTTATGAGTTTTCAAAAGGTTTGATACATTTATTCAGTATGGAGAAGAAGATATATTCATTAGAAGATATTAGTGATCCATATTAGAACCAGAATGCTGAGAATGTTGGTGTAAGACAAAAGCTCTTTACCATGAGAAGTAGCATTAGCACTGATGATATGGTTTAATTTTTCTTTCTGCATCTTGATACTTGTTCCAACATTATTGTAGTCCACTTTGACTTGAATTTTGAATTGGTTGTCCATTCAATCTCATGCTGAGGCTACAAAGAATACAAAGTAAAATAAGATACATGTAAGAATAAGAAAGCTTCTTAATAGTAGTGGTCAGTAAGATCATTTTGTTACCTTCTTTAGAATGAAAACCAGTTAAAGATTGTTTAAACGTTAAATTTGGCTTCCTGAGAAGGAATTTGAATGATTTAGCAGAACAGGATAAATTATAAAGAAGGATAAAAACGATCCATTACAAAAGGAGTTTTAGTAATAATCTAAAATCCTACAGATAGCTTTTTATCCTCATAATGTTATAATAATGCATGAACCAGGTAACGTTTTCAATTCAATTTCTAAAAGAAATCAATCACAGCAATTAAGGACCATTCAGGCTGTTGTCCATGGAAAATCGGGTTCTTTTTCCACTTATCCACATCAGAGGTTACTCGTTTGATTATCAATGTTGAACGGTTAATTGGTTAATAAGCCTGGGTAAGCTGGGTAATATCTGGTTCCCTATGGATATTGAGTTATGGCAGGAATGATCCAATTTTGTGATTATCAATAGTTTTCCCATTATCTTGTGATTCAAATTATGATAATCAAGGTGTAAAATGATATTTATGCCTGAAGCGTTGAATACTGGCATTACTGGGATAAAATTTTGAGATGAATCTTTGATTTATAAAAAAAATTTAGATGGTGACGTGTGATATGGCGGTTATCTTGAGTAATTTTTTGTACTCATTTGCGCCCAGAAATTAAGTTAAGAAAAATGGTTCCCAAAGAGCAGTGAAGAGTGAATCCATTGAGAAGAAAGTAATATGCACTGTCGGTCAACCATGCCACTTATGAATTAGAAATTTTAACGTAATATTGTCATCTCTATCATCGTTTTTTTATTTATCTCCAAAAACTGAATGGTAAAGGATCAAGTTGCACAAAGTCACCCTCTTGCTCCATGACTATGCCATAGACCCACAAATCTACTCGCAACATAATCATATTGTAAGCAATTAAGATCTTCGTTTTTTGTGATATTTTTTTCCCATTCTTTGCCTCTTCATCATCTTCAAAATATCTTCACATGAGAAGGGTTCACTGAGGTTGAATCAACTGCCATTTCTAGTCAAAAAATAATAGCAAACAAAGAGCCTTTAAAGGTTGATACAAAGTGGCAACATCTTGAATTTTATCTTGCAATGAAGATTAAAATTTTGTTTACTTACATGATGTGTAATATATATCTTGATTTCAGAATTTAAATTGGTTCCAGAGAAGATCACAAGCAATTAATTAAAGTTGAGAAAATTTCGAAAATCAGGGTGAAGCTGAGTAAAAGAAATGGTCATGGAATAAAGTTATCACTGGTTAAAAACAGATATGCTTCATAACAAAGCAGGATATTATGTTTTTCACATGTTATGTAATTAATATTTTTTACATAATCAGAATGATCATCCATCGATTTGGCTTTATCTGGTATCAATTAACAGAAAATGGCGTTTTAATCTGTTACCATAGAGTATTGGCACATTGGTATAATGTTAATAATAGAGAGATAATAGCTTATTGAAAACAAAGGAAAACTGTGAGAGGGAAAAAGATAATTTGACTAAACAGTTCAAGCTAAGCTCAAGCCATATCTTTTCCCAGTCTATGTATCACACTAGTGTTAAGCTACAAGGCTAAGGTTTTGATCTTTGTTCATTACTCAGTTTGGTGAATTTAAATTCGTTGTTTGAAGATGTTGGCCATTGTTGCGTTTGTTTTCCTCTTTCAAGTGGTGACCTGTTCATCTAATAATGCAAACATTTCATCAGCAGATGAACCTCTTCCAGTTGTTCTTTGGCATGGCATGGGTGATACTTGCTGTAACCGCGGATCTCTTGGAGCTATCGTTGATTTAATCGAGCAACAAGTTCCCTCTATTTATGTGAGATCGCTTCGAATCGGTGATAATGAAGAAAAAGATTTTAGCAATGGATACTTCATGAATGTTAATGATCAGATATCATTCGCTTGTCAGTTGATACGATCAGACGATAAACTGAAAAACGGTTTCAATTTGATTGGTTTCTCTCAAGGAGGTCAGTTTACTCGAGCTTTGGTACAACGGTGCTCTCTTCCAGTCCGTAATTTAATTACCTTAGGAGCTCAGCATCAGGGTGTTTTCGGATTACCTCGGTGTGAGGCTGTTACTAATAATTTACTCCATAATTCGGTTTGTGATTTTGTACGGAAACTTCTTTCTTTAGGCGCTTACAACAGTTTTGTCCAAAAAAGATTGGGTATGTTGATTTATCAATGCTTCTCAAAATTCTTGTAACAAACGGGTGACTTTCTCATCAAGATAGTGAGATGCTATCAAGATTATGAGATTTTAATGGTGGTAGATTCACTAAATAACTACCGCAACTACATGAATGGCTAGATTAAACCATATCTGCTATCATTGTTCCATCTAATCATAGATTTCTAATTGTTTCCTTTTTTTAAATTCATGTTTCAGTTCAAGCTGAATATTGGCATGATCCATTGAAAGAACAAAAGTACAAGGAGAAAAGTGTTTTCCTAGCTGACATCAACAATGAAAAAAGTCCCAGAAATGAAACTTATCGTCAAAATTTGGTTAATTTAAACAAATTTGTGATGATAATGTTTGAAGATGATTCAATGGTCATACCCAGGGAGAGCAGTCTTTTTGGCTATTATGAAACTGGAAATATTAAAAAGATTGTCCCATTAGAAGACAGTTTATTGTACACGGATGATCGATTAGGCTTGAAAGAGCTTAATGAATCCGGAAAGCTAATTAAATTAACTATACCTGGTGATCATTTGCAATTCACTGATGATTGGTTCACCTCAAATATTATTGAAGCTTATCTGAAATAATTACATAAACTTCAATAATTTTCACAATGGTTAATCTTGCAGCATTCACTTCAACAAGATGGAAAATCAGAATCATCAAAGAAAAGTAAAAATTTTGTAATAACAATCATACTTTTTTATGTTTTTGTTTATTATCGAACGGTTAACAAAATTAAATCGCCAATTTTTGAATACAAAAAATAAGTTATTTTTCTTAGTGCAACAAAGACAATTTGATTGGCAGGGTGAACTGTTGTTCAAAAGGATTATTTTTAATCTTCTACCGTCGATAAAGTCATCATTTGGCCAGCAGAAGATAGAAAGAAAAGGTTTAAAGTAAAAATAGTAATGCGTTAAAAATAGGTGTTAAAATTGCAAGGTTAATAGATAATAGTTAACTTGGGAAGTAAAAACAAGAAAATTTAAACCCTTCAGTTTCCTGTATTTTAGGTGAATTTGAAAGGTAATAATCACAATTGACACTCTAAGAACCTTGATCCCATGGAGTTTTTTATGGTCTTGAAGTACTTTCTAAGACAGATTCATTCTTGTCTTATTACTTTACTCTGTAGTAACAGATTTGGCGAGATTTCTTGGACAATCAACATTGCATCCACGAAGTACAGCAATGTGATATGAAAGGAGCTGCAATGGAATAACGGTTAGAATTCCTTGTAAACAATCAACAACGTGAGGGATTTTAAGATGTTTGTAGGCCATGGTAGGAGTTTCATTATCGTTTTCTTCGCATATAACAATTGGTCTACCTCCTCGAGCGGTAACCTGTTGAGATAAGTAAGATGAAACAATCAGATATTTACTTTTTGATTCATAAGACATTTATATTTTGCAATCAAATCATAAATCAATATCATTTCAAGTTAATAAATTACTATTGTGCATAAGAGCTAATAATTTATAACTACATAAAACTATGATAAGAAAACAGCAGATTTCAACAATTTTCAAAATGAATTTGTCTCATTTTGAATGATAAACTTGCAGCAAAAAACGTAAATAGCGCAATTTTTGAAATGATTGCAAGGAGAAAGTGAAAAATACCTGTTGAACTGCATTCATGCATTTGGTGTACACTTTATCACGTGTGACAATCATTATGACTGGCATGGCTTCATCAACTAATGCGAGCGGTCCATGTTTAAGCTCACCAGCGAGTACACCTTCTGATGGAATGTATGTTAACTCTTTGATTTTCTGAAATGAAAAAAAGAATAAATAAATCACCATTTTGTAATCTTGTCATTGAATGAAAAATTCAGCACATTTCTCTAAAGATTGGAAACGCAAGATATTTTCTTGTTTTTTATGTTACTAGTTCATCATTAACAGCTAGAGAGTGAATAAACAAACACTCGTTATGCTGAACCAGACTTACAAAAAAGAACATGCGAGAAAAGATGAAATACTGATAATAAACAAGATGACTTACGAGAGCTCCCTCCAAACAAGTCGCATGATTATAACCTCTACCCATAATCATGATTGATCCTTTAGTGTATAATTCTTCAGCTATAGCTTTGACTTGGTCATCTAGTTTTAAAACAGAATTGATCTGATCTGGTAGCATTTTCAATCCTTGAATGATCTCAGTTCGACGTGGTCTCATTGAGATTCTATCTTCACTTAAAACCAATGCAAACATAACAAGAGAGATGAATTGTGAAGTATATGCTTTGGTTGAAGCGACACCGATTTCGGGTCCTGCATTAACATGTACACCACAATGACTTTCTCTACAAATACTACTTCCAACGGTATTGGTAATTCCAACAATCAGTGCTCCGCGTTGCTTGCAGTATTTTAAGGCCATCAAAGTATCTGCTGTTTCACCAGATTGAGATATGAAGAAACAAACATCATCACGATAAATGGGTCTTTCATTATCCAAGAAATCACTAGCAAGTTCGACCATGACAGGTAATTCAGTCAATTCCTCTAAAATAGTTCGTGTCTAAAAAGAGTGAGAAAAAAATTAACGTTTAGAAACGAATCTTAAAAGTGAATTGAATAGAACCAGAATCATTTTGGTAAAGAAATAGCAACCAATACTTTGATTAACTAGTATTAAAACTTGGAAGATTTGATAATACACTAAATCGTGCATAAATTAGCAATAATGTTCCACCATTCTAAACTTTTGATTGAAAACAGGTAAACTTACTGCAATAGCGCTGTGATAACTTGTCCCACAGCCAATCAAGATAAGCCTACGGCATCTTTTTATTTCTGGAATGTAATCTTTAATTCCTCCAAGGATAACAGTTTCATTCTCAAAATTAACTCGTCCTCTCATTGTATTGAAAACAGATTCCGGCTGTTCAAATATTTCTTTTTGCATAAATGAACTGAAATTTCCTTTCATAATCGCTTGAATTTCTAATTTGAGAGTAATAATCTCCCGGGTTAACGGTGATTTATCATCAAAATCTCGACGAACTCTGTGAATTGTAAGACCTAGAACCAGAAAAGGCAGAAGAAACAAGAATGAAGATTAAATTCAAGAAAACTCATGGACAATCGCATAAAATGGAACATGAACGCTGAGCATTTATATGTTTAGTCTTCTCAGATTAATAAATTTATATTTAAATAATAATTACGGCCATCTTCAATAGCAGCAACGTCATCATCTTCGAGAAAAATAACCCGATTTGTATGTTCAATAAAGGCACTTGCATCAGAAGCATAAAAATATTCAACTTCAGCGTGATCACTTAATGGCGTGAATTCTGTCGTTGAATCAGATCTTTGTATTTTAGTCCCGATCAAGCCAGTTGGTGTAATATCTTTTTGCCGCTTCAAATCTAAGAAATGGAAGAAAAAAAATAATGCCAATGAGATTGTTATTGTTAATCAATCAATCAAAAAATGAATTACAGATGATATTGACGTTTATGACCATGAGTGAAATGAAACAATAAAGATGAAATGACGCGGAAATAACAATGTTCACTTAAATCACTTGGTTTTGATTCCTATTTTTTTATCTAGCAACTCTACAATCAAATTTCTTTGGCTAGTAATTAGCGACAGTTTGAACTTTTGATATTTACAAATATTTCACCATTTATAAGCTAAAATAAACGGTAGTAAATAGAACGGTAACCAAGTAACTTAATTGCAATGAAATTTTAAGTGTCTATACCTGTCTGAAGATCCATTTCACGTAAACCGCTAGAGCTTCGTAAGCGCACCAAAATGTCTGTGATATGGTTTGGTATTGATTGGGTAAAGGTGGAAAAACACAATAACGAAACATGCAATGGGAAAGGTTAAAAAATGTTAATTAATTTGATTTAGGATTAAAATGGTAACAATAAAACGTGGACAATAAGTTGCGAGAGTAGTAAATGTAGTTGATTAAGAAAGGGTGTTAAATACCAGACAGTTAGAATAAATATTATCAAATATTTAGTCTTATAGCCTTAAATTTTTATCTAATTATATATTGTACCATTATTGTACATTGCTATCATAATTAAACTGTTATTGTAAATTATCAACAAATTAACCACCAAATGAAGATACTGATTAAATAATGGCCAATATTTTTATGAGAGGTGCAACTGAGATACTTAAAGACGATAAAAATTGATACTTCTTGCCAATTCTGTAACACGCTCTTTTTACCATCGCTAAAACATGATTGATAATGAAGAAGATTTTGTTTCATTTATCTGAAATATGATTACAACACTTTGCTTACAAATTATTCACTCGAAAAAAATTAAATTTAATAACGTAATAAACCAAGCCTTAATTTTAGTGTTAATGTCCGATCATTCATTATTTTTGTATTCTACTTCTTATTTAATAACAATTCAACTTAGAAATTGATTAGCACATTAATTGATGCTATTGACCGGTTTTTGGTGCAAACTAAAAGTAAAGGATAGTCGAAGCTAAATTGAACAAATGGGAAGAATGAAATTGATTCAAGATTGCAGAACGAGAAAGGTTGAATAATTCAAATAGAAATTTTTTATGAAGCTGAAAAAGTTTCAAATGAATACATATCAACATGGAAAGAGGGTGGTGGACCCGGAAAAGTTGATTTGATTCTCATTCTGTAAGCCATTTTTAGTTGGAATATTAGTGAAATTGATAAATTTGTATTGTGAGGTTAACGATATAAAAATGTGTGTCATGTCTACCCACCTTTGGAGCTGAATAAAACCGGAATATGATCTGAAGAAAGAGAAGATTTGGTCTTGATTCCAACCAACAACGGGCTTCCTCGTCGAGTAGCCACACACTGTCCGGGATATAAGATGCTTTTGAAAACTAGGGCAAATGCTCCTTCCTTCAAAGTAAAAGTAGATAAAATGGAACAACAAATTGATCAGACAAGGTAGGAGGTAGAAAGATGATATAAAGAAATTTTTGAATTGAATAGAGAAATATGACTTCTCAAATTGTTTAAAGAGAAAAATAAATAATTGGTTTGATGAAAGTGAACTGATGATTATATTAGATTGAGAGAACGCGGGAAGAACGGGAAGATAATTTATCATTGAAGCTAGCAGAACTAGAGAGCTAGAAAACATACCAATTGTAAGGCCACTTGTTCGACTAACTCTCGGAATGTTAAATCGGGATGGTTATCATGAATGTGCTTGATTAGCTTAGCAATAATCTCCGTATCCGTCTCTGATTCAAAAGTGAGTCCTTTCTTTGTCTGAATGTAGAAAAAATAAGAATTAGAATTGAAATACGATACAATTGATGATTAAGATAATTGTTTGATATCCTTTCAAAGAATTATGAAATCTACAGTGATGACATAATACGTGTATATTTATGATTGTCATAAAGCAATAGATAGTCTTTCATTAGTATTTCTGTAGGATCATTTTATTATTCCTTACCAAGAACTGTTTGATATCTTTATAGTTAGTGACAATTCCATTGTGAATGACAACAAACTCTTGCTTCTCGTCTGATCTTTGAGGATGACTGTTAATAGGACTTGGAGCACCATGAGTTGCCCATCGGGTATGAGCGATTGCAACATGAATATCAAGAGACTGATCAACACTTAAATCATCACGGGACCATATTTCATTTTCTAAAACCTTGACTTTTCCACTTTGACGAATAATTTCCGTTTTTCCTTCAGCATTGTCAAAAGCAATTCCTGAAAGAGATCAAAAATTGAGAACCGTTAAATCTCTGTCAAACGTAATAATCACAACAAATTAATGAATCGAATAATTTTCTTACCTGCAGAGTCATATCCTCGATATTCAAGACGCTGTAAGCCGCTAATGAGAAATTGTAAAATCTCTTTTCGCGTTTTGGGTTCTAAGTAATTTATGTAAGCAAAAATACCTGATAAAGAGATTTAACGAAATGAAGATGGATTAATATAAACAAACGAATAAGCAATGGCCAAAGTAAGATTACTTACCACACATTTTGATAGTCAGTTAATAACGAAGACGAAATCGATTTGTAAATCACAATTTAGCAATGGAACATAGAATTGGAGTAACACAAATAAAGAAATTGAAGCACAATTCGAAACTATACTAACGTGTACAATCACTCGTTATCTCATATGTCGAATGATGTAGTTTGGTGTTGGTTGTTTATCAACTGAAGATTACTGAGTTTTTCTGGAGATGGTTGAAACACTGTGTACAACATTTTTAACCAACTTATTGAGCATCCAAGAACCTCCCCACGATAAATCTGGACAAGTTAAACAAGTAATTTGAGGTGGACACGAATCTGGAACAGAGTAGGTAAAGAAAGAGAGCGAAAGAGATTGAAAGAGAAAAACAGAAAAAAAACAGAAAAAAGATTATAGTTGTGATATCGCCATCTATGATACTGTAAAAGAACAGGTAGTTTTGGTAGAAGAAAAAAGATTGAAAGCTGAAATCTCTTGAGGTTAGAAGTGAAATTGTCTGGATAGTTAATCCAGAACTTCTTTCACCACTAATACTGATGTAGACAGAAGTCTTAAAGTACTTGAGCCCTGAAAGAGATTATAAATTTTCAAACAAAATACAGCTGGAAAGGGTGAATAACTAGAGTGTACGTTAGCTTAAACCATTGAGAAATTGCTTCGTAATGGCTTTTAGAAATTATTTTGTCGCCAATTTTGTTGTTGAAATAATCTGTTTCAGTTTCATATTTTTATAAAGAGTTCCATGTGTATTATAACTTATAATGTCAGTTAATAGTTCAACTTAGATTCATTGTATCGTTGTGTGATTTGTGCAAAGTGTCTAGTCTGATGAATCCAACAAATTATCAGTTGAAAGCTAATAATGGATTAATTTGAATTGATGAGTGCATTAAAACAAATATCAACATTCACTTTCACACAATTAGAGTGATAACAAATGTAATACATTAAATTATCTGATTGTACCAACATTGTAACTGCTACTGTAGACAAGAAAAAAACACCAAATATCTCAAGGTATTAGATAAATCGGCTTAAAGGCTATGTTTGAGTTTGAGATAAGGTCTATTTTCACTTAACTGAATTAATAAAACAAAATAAGGCTCAGGTTCAGTTTTACTTGAATTTAAACAGATTGTAAAGTACCAGTTATCTGCATCTTTTCGAACGTAAATTTATGTAATTTCCCCTGAATTTTTATTCAGCTTTGGAAAGTTTCTTTTACCATTAAAATCCTTGAGTTTTACGACTGTCATTTAAATCTCACCATGATTGTGAAGAATAATTCCATCATGTTCCATTGTCCCAAATTTGTCTCAATTGTCTCAATGTTCCCAGATATTACTCTTTTAATCCTAATGTTGTCTTTACAAGATTTGAATTCATAATTGTACTTGATACAGATTGACCAGATTCATAAATCTTCAAGTATTTTAACAAATACCATGAATTATGTCATCAAATAAAGAGAAACAAATATCAGATAAACAAGTCTCGATTAGCGTAAACCATTGAAACCAGACAATTTTTCATCACTTGAGACCTGAAATTACAAAAAAAATGATGCAAGAAGAAACATAAATATCATCAATGTGATAAACTTACTAATCCAAAAATACTTACAATTTAATCCACAATTAATTCATCGAAATCACAATAATCACAATTTCTTGTTTCCATTGAAATAATTGTAAACTACAATACTCGACACCAGATGACACTGTTTCCACATTTTACCGCACAAAAATGGTTGAACAATATGGATACAAATCTTGATTCCATCCGGGTTGATTAAAACTGAGAGAAGGCCACTGAATCAATTAAGAAGAATTTCCAATTAACAGTCTGGGTTAGATGGAGACGAAGCTAGCTATGTAAATAATAATTTCAAAAGAAGGGAATTAAACAAATAAATAAAGGCTTGAAATGCGAAATGAAAACAATGAAGATCAGATAAAGATAATTAAAAGATATCAGATATGAACTGTACTTAAGTCTATTTTCACGAAAATTGATGTGAATGCCTATTCACCGGGAATGACACATTTTACTTCTTGTTTTTTTTCAGTGTACATAAAACAAAAACCACTGATTGATTGTTTACTCATTTGATAAATTGTTACCATCACCATTGGATCAAATTATGACATTTACCTAACCTTCAACTCTTCTCTTAACTGATACTCATCCAATTATAAAATCTCAATTTATTACCTTTTCCCCTTTTGGGTACAATTTTATGCAACCTTTGATATTCACCAGTTAATTCTGGAGATAGAGAAATTTATCTTTCAAGATTTGTTCTAAATTCTCACGTGAATCTCATAAAGTCATTTACGGTAAACCTTCACTTGATTGTAGATATTTGATAACCACCATCTACATTAATTAATTTTATCGTCAGCTTTTTGTCATTTGTTTTTTGCCACCAAATCTCATCCAATTAATGATTGATTAATAAATATAAATGGTAGTTTAATAGAATACATTTAATGTGAAGGTTTACAGTAAGACAAAAAGGACTCAATTTTTTTTCTCCTCTCATCTATTTTGTCTTCCATCTTTAATCATCTTTTTGTGAATTTATTATTGTGACAGCTCAATCATGGATAATACCAATAATTTGGATAAACCAAAAAAGCTCGATCTGGAATCAACTAATACTAAAGATCTTAAGTATCCTCGATCAGTGTGTTTTATCGTTGGAAATGAATTTTGTGAACGCTTCTGCTATTATGGCATGAAAGGTAAATCATCTTTTTCCTAATTTTCCCTCTCATTTTTTTTCCATTCAATTGTTTCAACACGTGTCTGAGTCCACCATGATCTTATAATCGACCATTCAGTAACCCATACTCATTTTTTACTTCTTGCCACCCACAATCATGCTTATTAAATAGGTTATCCACTTTTTATTTAAGATTACATTTTTTGTCTGCATTGCTTATTGGCTAAATGCCAATATTAAAAGCCTTATTTCTTAACTTTTATTCAATCTACTTCCGTCGTTGTTTATTTTAAGCGTTGTGCTAATTGATCAGCCAAGTTTTTTAATGTTATTTGTGGTTATTGTTTCAAGTTGAACCAGCAATTTACAGAGGTATCTTTTTCATCGATAGTTATTAATGTCTTTTATCAAATCCTTTTCAACCAAGACAAATTAAAATCAATGAATTAAATGAACAAATATCTGTATTTCCTCTCTGCATTACTTTACTTTACACTTCTATCATTATCGTATTGTTGCAATCAAAGACAAAACCAGTGACCAGTAAATAGCATTTAAACATTTTTGTAGTTTCAAAACTTATCATAAATCATGCAATTAGTCTTAATAGCATTTCCAACATAAACAATCATGATTTACTGATTAAACGTTTTAATTGTTTCCAGTTCAAGTATCAACTAAATGACAAAAAACTTAGAAAGGCAAACAATTGATTGTCAGCTACAAGAGAAAGCAAAAAAGCAAAAATCATTATGTAAAAAAATTGATCCATTATCGACTGGTAAATAGGACTCTCGAACTCATTGTCATTGCAATTTTTCCAATTTCCATGATTAACATTATTCATCAAAATGTTTCAGACAAATCCCAATGACAATATCACTATTTGAATCACTTGACCCATCAACCTCCATCACCATCATCATCACCACCACCATCATTACCAATAGAAGCTATCATTACTATTGTTACCAAATAGTAGTTCAAACATTCAGGGTGCGTCGCTACCTGAAGAAAAAAAACCAAACCTTTTCAATGTTCACATAAAACTACGGGCATTGATAGTATCGCACCTTAACACGTTCCTATAGATATTTCAAGCTAAATAAATATAATTATTTATAATACACATATATGTATTTTAAGCCCTCATATTTTTACAGTCCATAATCATAATAATAGGCATAATAAAGTGCAACTAACATCAAAATAGTATTGTATTAATATTGCATTAGTAGTTGAAGTAAACTATTTTTTTACTGCTTTTTCACCTAAAAAAGGTTGTTCCTAAAAAAAGAGTTTTCTAACAACACAAAGTCTATGACATTTTTTTACCTTTTTTTCACTTTGCCCTTTCAATAGAAATGCAAAGAAAGATTTGCCCTTTGATTTCTTCTTTTCTTCTCTTCTTCATCTTCTATTACTTGCAATCTATTTTATTATTACTATTATGATTATTGTCAAGCATAATATTTGAAAGGTAAAACTGGTGAAAGGTTGACTGAATAGCATTTTAATCATGATTAAAATCACATCTTCTCAAGACACATTCCTTGCTCGTCTTACATGCAAAACAAAGGACAATCTCGTAAACAAAAATAAACAGGTAAACCAAAGGTTATTTGAAGAAAAAAATATTTTCTTACATTCAACTGAGTAGCAATGATTCGCCTTACCTGGGCTAACTTGAATTTCTTTCTGTTGATTGATTTTTGGCCTCAGGTATTAGTAGGTAAAAACTGTAAGAGTTGAAGTCGCGCGTCCCTCTCTCACGCACTCTATTGATAATATAAAAAATATGAATTCAATAGATTATGTTTTTTTCTTGTTTAACCATTTTTTTGCCCACTTTTTTGTCCTCGCTCTTTGGTACCAAAAAAGTGCCCAAAAATGCATGATGCCCACCCATTGTTTGTCCATAGCAAAACAACAACAACATGTTACCTCTGACCGTGTTTAAAATCATGTCTTGCGGTTATATTAGGCAAAATATATTATGAGGCAAAACCATGCAACCATTGTCTGTCTGTTCTGAAGATTCACCTTTTCTAACCTTTAACTTTTTTCCAATTGAAATTGTCCAATTTCTTATGGACATTTGTACCTTTTGCAATGTGCACTTGAGATAACACAAAAAACATCATTAAACGTTAATTGCATTCTTTTCATTCTCACCTTACGAATCCATGTTTGGTTCAACTTTGAAACTTTTTGTCTTTCAATCTCTTGTGGCTTTTTTTGCTCTTGTAATCAATTTTGTCAGCTTGAAAACTTAATTAACTTTGATTTGGCTCCAATCGCAATTTCAATTACCAGTCGCAAATATTGTTAATGATCAAAATCACAAATTGGTTCAACTTAACGGTGATCAGTTGAATTTGATTTTACTCTATTTGGCAATGATTTTCAATCTGCTTTTAAATAATTAATCAATTTCAATTCTTGTTTTTTCACTTTCAACACCATATTTGAAAAAATCAACTTTCAAATCAATACGAGTTTTAATTACTCCAAGTGATTCAAGTTTCGTTGTCTTCAAATTCAATATTGATTAATATAACGTTTGTAAGCTCAGGTAACTTTAATTACAATAATTATAGTATTAAATAATTAGATTAACAAGAAGCTCATTTGAATCTTGTAAGACGAGCAAACGGGAAATGGCTTTGGTTACCTTTTACTTTCTGAAGCTTCTATTTTCAACCTTCTCTAATCATCTTTACCTTTATTGTTGCTCACACTGTTTGTCATTTGATTATCATAACCTGTGATTAACTAATAGTTTAATTAATCTTTTTGATTATAGTTAAAATCAGTGATTACATTCAGGTTACATGAATAGATGTTGAACACAAGCCTTGATAATTCTTGATCAATATATCAAACGTTATTATACATTAAAAGCTATTAATGTGTGTAGCTCAAAAATTAATCTTCACCAGTAGTCAGGTTAATCATTTAACAGTTGACGTTGTCAACACTGATTAACATTGAAATTATTCCTTCTAATCATCATTAACAATCCAAATGTAACCACCCAAATGAATGGTTAAAAATGAAGGCAAAAGATAAAAAATTAAAACTTGGTTACCATTTTACTTTCAATTTTATGGTTATGCTTAAACAGACTCACACATAAACAGGTTTACCTGTTAGGACGGTGTGACAAGCATGTTATTAACAAAATACTTTTACCCAATAAAATGTTTAATCACTAATCTTAACCAGGCAAAGGTAAAAATCCTTTGACCCTTGGTCCAATAACCCTCCCACTTTACATTCCCTTTTCTTCCTTCATCTTCCCATCATCAAGTCTCAGCCTTTTTTACATATTTCATTACAAATCCATCGATTTTGTATCATCATTAACATCATAACTATTAATTAATTAAGGGGAAGAAGAAACAGTTTCAGGCAATTTTGATGCATTAATCAATTTATCTGGAAAACAAGTGAACACTTCACTTCAACTTCAATAAGTTCATAAGCAATATTAAATCATTAATGCTAATTTACTATTGTCATCATTAATATTGACAACTTGTTAATTGTCGATAAAATGAACCTTACAATTATGTTTGATATTATCAGTCCTTAGGTTTTAACAGTTTTGCAAAAATCATGAATTCGTAAGCAAAACTTTATCAACTTGTTCAGCTCGTCGAGTGCTTTAAATATGCAAAATGGATTGACACTAATTTAGATCATTTCTTCATTTTTTTATCAAAATCATCGTTTTTCACTTGTTGATATACTTTTGGCTTTGTGAGAAAATTTTGCACTTTTACCAAATAATCAGATTCAAATTGAAAGTTAACTTTTATTTGAGTTGAAACGCATGAAACCAATTAATGGTAAACCTTGACATGTAATTCAACCTTTTCATCTGATCAATTCCAACTAATCAGATCACAAACAAGTCTTCAATTTTCATCAGTTTTGCTAATTTCAATTTTAAAAGTCAACTTTTTAGAGTCAAAAAATTGCAAACGTGATTTGAATTAACAGAAATTTGAAACTTTTTTCTCAATTTAATGTCAATTAATTGATGATTTCTGGTGAATCTCTCTCTCTTCATCCTTAACGCCACATCTTTTATTGAACACAAAACTTGAATAGCAAATGAATGATGACTATTAATGTTAGGATTATCATATTTTTAATAGACTATTAATATTAAAAAAGATCAATGGATAACTACTTTAATTGTGCATTCCAAATTTAAATAGATTTCAGAATCAACAGGGTTTAATTTAAATTGTATTAATACTTTTTATTTCTATTCTTTTCATCGAGTTGAACCCATTATTTGAATTGATTCAAGCCACAAAAAAAGGTTAACATTTAAAAAATGAAATGAATAGAAGCAACATACAAAATAATATTGATGATGATCATCATCAAAGAGTCGTTTTGATTTGATTCAGTTTCTAAATGTTGCAGTGTACAAAACAAATGTTAACCTCTCATTGATTGTACAATCAATTGTACAAATGAATGATGATTAATGATTGATGTTGATGGAACCATCTAAATTATAAGATTTAATAAGAGTGAGACTCAGACTGGGAATAAAGTAAATGAACCTTCATTTCACAATTAACTTAACAATCAAACCCTGAATAAATGCCAATGTAAATATAACATTTTTTACAATTCTCATTAATTGTTAAACTCTTTTCTTACCCTTTATCTATTGGAACCATCACTTGGAACGATTAAAATCATTGGTTAATTTCAACGAATCCAATCAACAGCCGTTCTGGTTTTATATTTCACCAAAGTTTTAAGACTAACCGATGATGAAGCCACTGAATCATATCATGAATTTGTTTTGCTCTGTTATTTTACACCGTTAATCGGTGCTATTTTAGCCGACTCTTATTTAGGAAAATTCAAGTAAGATTTAAAATTAAAAATGTCGATAAAATCAACTAATTTTTACTCTTTTATTCAGAACCATTTTGTACTTAAGTATACTTTATGCAGTGGGTAATATAGCATTATCAGCCGCGTCGTACTTTGAGCATAGGTAAGTTGATAATGATTATCCAAAAAATCATTGACAATTAGTTAATCATTTTTTTCTTTTCTAGTTTGCTGTCTATATTTTCATTGGGATTAATTGCATTTGGAACTGGTGGCATTAAACCTTGTGTAAGTGCTTTTGGAGGTGATCAGTTTGTTGCCGGACAAGAGGACCAGTTGAACAAATTTTTTGCCATTTTTTACATGTCCATTAATTTGGGAAGTTTGGTTTCAACCTTTATCACTCCAATACTTCGCAGTGATGTTTCTTGTTCCTCGAGAGGTGATTGTTTCCCACTTGCCTTTGGAGTTCCTGCTATTTTAATGACCGTTGCGCTATTGCTGTTTATTGCTGGTAAACCTTTTTATCGAATCGTTGCAGTTGCTAAAGGAAATGTTATATTTAAATTTTTCCAATGCAATGCGGTAAGTAATGTCATCATAATGAACATCATCTAAACACGAACATCAACACCTCAATATCATCTTAAAAACACATCTTAAATCCTTTATCTTTAATGAAACCACTCTAAATAACATTTCCAGTGTTTAATGTGTAATAACAAGTATCACTGAAGTCAAACACTTCATATCACTTCATTGTGCAATCATAACTCCTTTGAGCTCATTCCATGGGATCTCTGATTTAAGATACTCTATTAGATAATCTGCAGTAATTTATGATTACTAATTGTTTCTTTTTCTCTTTTCTTGATTAGTATGCAATTGGTGTTAAGTTGCAATCACTTTACACCTCTAAAAAAGGATTGGAAAAACGAGATCATTGGTTAGATTATGCTGAAGATAAATTCAGTGTAAGTATCAATCGTCAGCATTTTTGTTCATCTCGAAATTGATTTTCATTATTTTCTCTATCTTTACTCTTTACAGCCTAAACTGATTCAAGATGTTAAAACGGTCAATCGGGTACTTTTCCTCTATCTCCCCCTTCCACTATTCTGGGCTTTGTTTGATCAACAAGGTTCACGATGGACATTACAAGCTCTCAAAATGGATGGTATTGTGTTCGGTGAAACAGCATTAAAACCTGATCAGCTTCAAGTGATCAATCCAGTTTTGATTGTAGGCATGATCCCAGTTTTTTCATACATCGTTTACCCGATCACAAATAAAATTGGAATCTTTAAAACGCCTCTTCAAAGAATGACCATCGGTGGTTTGTTGGCTGGAGCTTCATTTATAGTAGCAGCTTTTCTTCAAATAAGCCTAGAATCTGAAGTACCAAAAGGTCCATCCCCAGGATATGGCGCCATTACTTTAATCAACAGTTTACCATGTGCAATCACTTTATTATCAGCCAATTCAGCATTTCCAAAGACCTTTTCTTTGGATCCTGGCTCGGCCATTCGAGCACCCAATGATTTACCTGTTGGTCTTTACCCTATCACCGTGCAATCACAAGGAACCTGTTATCTTGGTAATGATACCTCAATTGAACTGGCAACTTTTAATATTAAAATTGATGATCAAGAAATAAATGCTATTCATTTAATTCCAAAAAAGTCCGCATCAACTATAAGTCCAACTTATTCTTTAGCTGTTAAAATATATCCTCATTCATTGGTTAAACCCGACAAAGGTGATGCAGCAGTCCAACTCGCTTACAGTTTACCCCTTTCAATGAAAGATGGAGAAAACACTAGTCAATCAATTTATTTGTCCAAGTCACTCAATGAAGCCAGCAATGATCCAAAATTTAGCTTTAATTATTCAACTGGTCTCACTGATTATCTTAAGATTGAAACCTTCTCTGGCATTGAAAAATATAATGTTTTATTGAAAAACATTGCCGAAGCAGATTACTCAATCAAAGTCCGAAACGGAGCTTCTTACATTCTTGTTGTCAATCAAGATCCTATTTCTGGTCAAGTAATGACACTTTTATTTTTTCAAACAACAAAAATAATTTACTAATTTCAATATTTTTCAATTTCCAGGTTAACTACAAGCTCAATAAAGTGGTCAATGAGAATCATGTTAGCATGCTCTGGCAAATTCCTCAATATTTTGTAATCACCTGCGGTGAAATCATGTTTTCGATAACAGGTCTTGAATTTTCATATTCTCAAGTAAGTCAGAAAATTTTATTCGAAGCTTCAAAGCTTCACCATCGACCCATGAAAAGCAAAGATAACATAAAATGAAACTTGTAAATTATCTTGTTGGATGTCACTATCCATTGACGAAACAACATTGAGAAATTATCAAATTCAAATTGTTGATAAATTATGTTGAATGTAAAATGCAAGATTTGCAAAATTTCCCGGAAGAGGAAACAGTTAGCAAATGAAAGTGTCAGAATTGAACAGATAAGTTGTGTGAAAGCTTTTCAATAATTTTCACTTGTTCATCACCTTGATGATCATCATTCTCTTTTGGCCGAAAATTATTGTACAGGTAAAACTCAGTTGGAATCAAGAATTAAAAAAAGTAAGAATGAGAAGAAAGATGAACATTAACAAGAAATTAAGTGCAGAATAAGTTATCCAAAAGTTACCTTATTCTTCAGGTAACTAACGAACTGTCATTTCTCTTTCTAACTAATCTAGTCTTGTATTGATTCCCGGGTCTTCTTGTTGTTCGCCTCTTTCTTTGCTCCTCATCTTTTTATCTTCTTTTTCCTACTTCTCAAGGTATCATATCTAACCATCTTTTAAGTCATCTTTCATCCATCACAGTACGTCAACATTCAATCTATCATTCCAAGAATTCAAAGAGAGAATGAGATAAATGAATTAATAGAAATGGAAGCAGAGGGAGAGAGGGAGGTTGAAAGGTAGAAAGGTAAGGATAAGGGGAGACTAATCTAGAGAAGACCAGGAAAAAATATCAATATCATGATAATGCTAATGATGATGATGATGGTAAGCAGTAGCCTGAACAAGTAAGGTTTAGCGGTGTTTGTAAGCTTTTTGGATTAACGTACGTTTTCCTAGCACATTTTATGCTCAATAACCTTGCTTCTCCCGCTGCGGTAAACGTGGCTTGTTTCACATTTTTACCTTTTCCAAATTAGACCCTCGCCAGAATTTGTCTTATCCTTATTTTTCATCTTTTCCGAATTTATCTTCCCTTTCTACATTCTCCATTTCTTTCTCTTCTCTCCCTCTTCTCCTCCTCTTACCTTCGATTATTATTGCATATTTACTGATGATTCTCACTGTGATTTAGTCTGTTGATTGTGTTAATTCTCTATCACCAATCATGATAAATTTACTTTTTCCATTGAAATCAGGAAAATTATTTCATCTTATTTATCACAACCGTGTTAAAGGTTACAAACAAGATTCCTTTCAAAAAAGCTCTTAACTTTCATTTCCAGATTCAGCTTTTTGTTTTTTCACTTTTCAAACTTGTCTATTAATTAATCAGTTTAAGCTTCAAACTGTCACTTAATCTGATTAAACCTCAAAACCAATTGATCAAGTTAATTTCATTTTCTCAATTCGATAAACCTGTAAATTGTTGAATCGATTCTTACCTTTAATTTTAAATATCCTTTCAATGAACAATAATTGCAATCAAAATCTAATATTGTTGAAAGATGAAACAATTGAAAAAGTTATTTACTTTCAAGTTTCTATCATCAAGCAGCAAAAAAATAAACGTAATTGACAGAAGTAAAAAAAGATGAAATCTGTTATACTTTGATGAGTTAATAATATGAAAGTGAAAAATAACATTCTGATGAAATAATTGTCATATCAGTGAAGTTTTCAAGAGGATGATGATAAATTGCCTGGCCACATATCAACAAGCGTCACTTTGGTCCGAGATTTGTTATGAAGAGGTGAAGGGAGTGTTCATTGAGCATTTGATAATCCAAAAGTTAAAAAAATGTAAAGGTAAAACCAAGGTAAAAATGTATAGTCAATTGTATATAATTAAATGAGATGTTCAGCGAATCAATGTAATAGCTGTAGGCAATGATCAGTAATAACAATAATCACAATTAACTGAAAAGTTACAAATCAAGAAATTATCAAATGAAAAATGATAGACAGACAGACAATTATCATCAACCTCATCTTACATTAACCTCTGTTATTATTTGTTTTAATCTGTTTCATTGATTTTTATCGTTTGATTGTTTTCAAGATGTGGCTTATTATCATGAATTGTGGACTTAAACCTCACACCCAATTGAAGATGATTGAGCCCAGAATTACATTCACAGATTTGCTTCTCATGATAAGGAAAACTCCTACGCCTCTAGGTATTAATTATTACAATTAATGCTTCTGATAATTTACTCTCTCTCTTCTGTAAATTGTTATGAGAATCCGAACCAAAAACACCAAACCTTAGAAGGTAAAAAAATACCTTTCAATATTGATTGGTAATGCTAATAAACTAGATTATCTGTTTTTGGGAGTGTTAATGTTATTCTGTTAGTCTTCATCTTTGTTTCTTTACTTATTGTTTTTGCATTTATGTGGAGGAGGATGCTATTGATGATAATGATGATGATGAAGATAAAGATTATAATTATAGTTATGATTATATTTGCTATAGAAAGAGCAAAGGAGTGTCAATTGATTATCAAAGTTAAACACTCCTCCAGGTTTCCATTACTTTGTGTTCATTTTTCCATTAATATGGATATTTACTCAAATCAGGAATATTGATTGGAAATCAATGTTGTCAACAATTTTTGCTTCTACTAACGCCTACGAAACTGTCTCAATCAATTGCCAAATTAATCTGCAAATCAATTTCAGAATCAATCGCAACTATAATCATCTAATGATAAATAATTCGCCGAAAGACAAATTCCAATATCAAAATTTTCACCAATGATTATTGCTGTAAATTTTGAATGTATCTTATGTTTTGAATTTTGTTGAATTTTGCTCATTTTCTTGATTGATTTGCTAACACAATTTGATTGATCTTAACATCTTTAATTACGAGTTTATTGTTTCTGGTAAATCTGTAAAATTGATGGAAAGATGAAACAAAAGGAAAAATAAGGAGAAGTTCGAAGGAGTTGAGACTCAGAGGAGGTGGATGAATGTTCAGTGAGGAGGGTATAAATGATAATATGTTTACTGGCAAGGGAATGGCACGGCACCTCCGCACCCTTAGGCCACCACCTTCGCACCGAAATCTATAGAAGGTATTCTTTTGATTATTATACCTAAAATGGTGATTGGACTTAAGTAGCTAAAATACAAGTAACAATTAGATTGGGTTGGTAAATGATACACTCTCTTTTTATCATCTGTATATGATAACAATTGTTACACCATTCCTAATACATTATGTTTTACCTTGATTGCCATCATCAGATGATGTTCATCAGAAGCATCAGTGTTACTATCATCCTCCTTCTTTCTTTCTACCTGATTAGCTGTTAACCTCTCCTTAGCCCTGAAATATTCTGCATCTGAGAAACAATTTATATCTCATCAGTTGTTAATAAATTTTTGCTCTTTTCATTATTTCAATATTACTTTCATATTTCATCTTCATCATTCACTCTTTTTATCCATTTTTATTCGTTTTGCTCTCTATTCATCTCTCTCTCTCCTCCTTCTTCACCTTTCCTCCTTCTCTCTTTCTTTACATTTATTTCTTAAGGGCATTTACGAAACTAAGGAGTGCTGATCACACCTTAAAGAAGATGAAAAATAATGGTGAAAAAAGAGATTATGATGATGAAGAAGAGATGAAACAAACAAAATGTTCTGTATTTCCAATTAACCATTATCAGAAGCTAAACCAACTACTGCTCATAGTTTCATATCAATTGCTACTAACTGCTACTACAACTACTACTATTACCTGTAGCTACTTTAATATCAATCAGTGAAACTTTTGTTCATTTCATTGTTTCATTTCTTTGTTAAAGCACAAAGACTCATAACTTTAAAGATTAGGAGCGACAAATTGTTGACCATTTTCATTGTATTTTTGGAAATATTTAAAAGCCTTTTTTAACCAATTTTGTTTTCTGTTTCTGATCTCATAACTTCCCAATGAACATTTTCTCATTGACAGATTTTTCCTTCACATGTACTTTTTATTATTCTGAATCCTTAATGTTGATTCCTTTTTATGAGCTTACTGGAATCACGAACTCAACTGACAAGAAATACAGTTTTTTATGATGGATAATTAATAGCATAATTTTAATCGGTATAACATGCATAAAGAGATTAAATTGCTGTTGAAATGAAGAAATGAAACTTGATGAAATATTAGTTCGGACGATGATTCTCTTTGGACAATTAACAATTTGAAATGTGTTTCTGTGCGAAACAAAAGGTCAATTGTGTCCATCGTGTGATTATGTTAATCTGTTTACCTCGTTTACCTTCTGTAGACTAGGAAAGAGTTATAATCATCATCTTTATCATCAACGAAAAAAAAGCAAAAACAAAATAAAAAATAATCATCTCATATCTTTGAAAAAGTTACAAGGTAACCATTGATCAAGGAATTACTTTAATTGCTAACTAAAACTATTGTATACAGTTAATAACAGGTATTGATGAGGATACAATTTGTACTAGCGATTAAGGATACAAGTAGAAAAAACAAGACCAAGAACAAGATTATAATGATAATGTGATGGAGGAACTGAAAATATGTACAGAAAAATACAGTTTTGTTAACAAAAAACAAGATTGGTGCTCATTGCTATTATATTGGGTTAAGCAAAAAGTCTAATAGATAATTGGTAAATAATAACATAGAAGCTAATAAAATGCATGTTAAGATGATATTTTCCCCTCTCATCATCTAAACTCTAACTTTGTAATCGTTTAAGGAAGAGATGAAGATTGAAGGTCAAGAAAAGGCATTTTGCCTTTTTCCTTGTGTAGGAGAGGTCACTGTATTTAGATGACCAAGAGATGAGGGTGGAGTGGGTCAACGTTGTAAATGAAAGGTAAAAACAAAACCTATGGTTTACATTCATATAATTATCATTATGGGAGAGGAACCAACATCCGCCCTAGTCGATTGCAGATTGTTTGTTACCAATGCAGGTTGGCAACAAAAAGAAATGTTTCAACAACAATTTGAAAGTCCAACAAGTTGTTTCCAAGTTATCTTTGCTCATCTCATTTCCCAAAATTAATATTACGATTAATTGCAATTGACTTTATTTCATTACAGGCTCCAACAAGTATGAAAAGTGTTGTCTCAGCAGCTTGGCTACTAACAGTTTCATTTGGTAACCTGCTTGTTGCCATCATTACCAAATACATCAAATTTAATAAACAGGTAAAAACAAAAATCGTCATTTTGAGTATTAAAATATTTATCGTCTTGCAAACGATAATAATGATAAATGTTAAGTGAGAGAGACATGAGAGAGACTGAAAAGGATCTATTATCAAGGAGGAAGCTACAAGAAGGAGGAGGAGGAGTAAGAATGTTCAGAAGGGAATTATTGTTATTTTAAAGTTTTCATGTTGTTGCCATTATTACTGTTGTTACAATCATAATATTAATGTATAATATCATAGTATTTATAAAATGTAAGTTAGAGAGTTAGCAAAATTTGTAGTTGTTCAGTTTGGGCTGATGCTTCTGATTACTTTCATGCCCTTTGCTTAAAGACGTTATAAGATATTTATCGTTGAAGGTAGAGAGAGAGGGAGAGTTGAAGATGAAGAGGATTGAGAAGAAAAAGGAGAGAAAAAAAATGTTAACATGGATTTTAAGTATAGGTTTGATTATGTTTTTTTAATGAAAATTGTTACAAGAATCATCTTCTTTCTTCAACAACCTCCACAACAACCTTACAACCCTGAAAGGTATAATTTTATTAGTACATGATGTTGTCGTTGGTAGTTTGTTGCTGCTGGTTGCTCCTTTGCCGTTGCAAGTCGGCCGTCAGCAGCAGCATCAACATCAGAAAATTCATGCAGGTTATCTTTTCTTTTCTCTCTCTCCTTCTTTTGAATTTCATTTTGTAACTCACTTCGTCTCGTGAAGGATTTGAAAATATGATGAGGGAGAAAAGCATGAAGAAAGGAGGAGGAAGCAAGGATGAAAATGATGATAGTGATGTTGTTGTTGATGAAGTAAACGATAGTTAGGAGGAGATGGAAAATAGATCTATAGCGATTAAGCATAAATTGCTAAATTCCATTGTAATCATGAAAATGATGGCGAATAAGAACAATAATGTTAACAACTTGGCTCAACAAAAAAAGAGGCCAAAAATAATTAAAAATATTAAGGGGGGAGTTAAGGAGGAGTTGGTGGCTTGATGTGGTTAACCAGAGTAATGTAAACTTATTATAATTAATAAGTTTATTATTATTTTTAAAGGTGTGCCTTTGTGTGTTGGACAATCAATATGATGAACCAAATTAATTTCATTTTTTTTATTTTCTTTTCTCTTTAGTCGATCGAGTTTTTCTTCTTTGCGGGTTTAATGATCTGTGATATGATTATCTTTGCCTTTATTGCATGCCTTTACACTTACTCGAATCAAGCCTTGGAAGATGGGAATTCTGATAGCCCCGGAAACGGGACTGTTAAATCAAATGGACAAGGAGTAACCGTTACATCATCATCTCATCCACCTTCTTCCTCTTCATCAGTTGAATCTCCGCATACCAAGCACGACTCGCCAGTGGACCGTATGCGAACCCAATCAGGATCAAATGAACTTCAAGATACCAAACTTTAAAACACTTTTTTTACATTTTCGTCTTTTACCGTCTTGTGTTCAAGAGAAAGCAAAGAAGGAACAAAATCAAAAGTCAAAAACTCGAGTCTATCAAAAATCATTATTATTCAATTCGTAAACAAGCCTTTTAATTCACCCTCAAACGATCAAGATGTTAAATGTTGTGAATGAAATATTTAAGGGAAACAGAAGAAAAGAAACAAATGGATAAAGCAAAGAAGAAAAGCGAAAGATAAAGAAGAGATGAAGACCAAGAGAAAAATCGCCAACAAGAATCGAAATTCAGATGGAAGAAAACAAAAGATCTTTTTTTTGTCGCTCAGAATCAAATCTTTTTACATAATATATGCTAATAATATACACACAAATCTTAAAATATATACAAAAAATAAACTCATCCTCAATAGTTAATCAGGAGGAGGTAAAAATTTATCGACTCTGTTTCCATGATTATTTATTTTTAGGAGTTTACAATTTTCCAACCTTTAAATTGTCCAAAGAGTCTCTCGTTTGGTTAAATTTTTAAGGAAGTTAGTTACTTTAACGTTGTATAATAATGATGACAATGTCCTTTCAACTCCTTTAAATGGACTTTAATGGATCCAAGTGACCATTGGTGGTCACAATGTTAGGTAAAAGGTCAATACATTTTGTCAGTATTATAAATAGTAATAATGCGTTGACAGTTCAATTGTATTTAAAGCAAAAAAAACCTTTTACTTGGAGGACAAAAAAAGCTTAAAATCAATGGTCATTGCATTATTATTCAACTTTACATTAGACTTTCAGCATTTCCTCTCATTCCATTGGTATAAATTGCGTTGACAGGTGGCACCGGATATAAGATGATATAATGTCGATGTTACCAGTAGTAATGATCATCTTCATGACCTTTGACGACGGTGACCGTTAAAGTGAATGTCAACAGAGGTTTGAAGCTTCAACAGTGTTGTAAGAGAGTCCAAGAATTAATTTCACTTAGGCAAGATCAGCTTATACATTGACATGCATTACCATATGACCTTTCACCTTCCTCCTTCTCTTCCTCCTTTTTACCTCCTCTATTACCACCTTCCATCTCGCTCCTTTAATCAAATTGTGTCTTCCTTCGCTTTACTCTGTACAAACATAATCAAAACATCTCAATGTGCGTTGTCCAAAAATCACAAGCAAGGCTGCCTCCAAATGAGTCGACTTGCACTCTTGTCACTCCATTGATATACTTTGTAAAATCGTTTCCCACTCAATTTCTTGTATATTAATCATTTGAGATCCATCTTCGTAATTTATCCGCTTTTAATAGTTGAACATTTGTAAATCACCGAAAGTAAACCATATAACAGAGGCAAAATGGGAATCTCCAACTGCAAAGGATATTGGCAAAGAGTGAATAGAATGAAACAATTGAATTTATTGAATCAGACTTACCTGTTGATCCAAGAGTTCCTAAATAAACAAAGCTTATTCTTCAAACTAATTACATTTACATTTAAGAACAAAACCAAATTCAATTAAACTGGATCAAAATAAATAAGAAATTATATCAAAATGCTTATAAATTTCGATATGTAAATGCTATTGTAACGCTTTTTCCAAATGCGGTTTTTACTCGAAACTCAATGCTTTTTAAGCTTTTTATGCTCGTCATATGTTATGCTTTCTAGATGCATTTTATGCCCAGATGCATTCATTTGTATTTTAATTATAATAAAAACCAATTATCAAGTTAATTTTGAGTTAATAAACTATCATCAACTCCAAATTTACCCGAATTGATTAGCATATTTAAACCAAGATTAATTTGCGATACATTTTCATTTCATTTCTTGATAAACTTGTGATGTTCACCTTGTTAGCCTTTAACCTAATGACTTGACTTTTTTTTCAATTCAATAATTGTCCGTGTTTAATGAAAGACTAGTGTAACAATTTGTTAATTGTACCTGTTAAACAATTGGAGCTACTTGATCATTTGCAAGCTGCACTTGGACAATGGTTTGGTTACGCCAACGTTTCGTGTTATTTTAATAGCCAAGAGATGAATTCACAGAAGAAGGTGAAAATAAAAAGATGATGACGAAGAATTGTGAAGATAGAGAAAGAAGAAGAAGAAGAAAGAGAAGAAGGAGCGAAAAGCGTCGTCAATAAAAAATATGGCCTGAGGGTTGAGGCAACAATTAACTGAGGTAAGTAAAGTAAGAGTAAAATGCGATGAAGAAGAAGAAAAAAGAAGAGAAAAAATTGGAAGGAAAGAAAAGGAGAAGAGAGTAACTTGTTCCTTCTTCACTATCACCATCGTCTTCATCAGCGTACTCACCATCGTATCCACCATCATCTTTATCATCTTTCTCTTCATCATCACCATCGTCATCGTTATCATCATCTTTATCTTAACCTTCCTCTTTCAACCTTTACCTTGATTCCAGTCATGTATTTCTTAGGCTTTGCTACCGAAATATCTTAACAAAATAGCCTGTAGCCACCTCACTCTCTGCATCCCTACTGCCTTCTCCCTCTCCCTCATCATCATCATCATCAATAGCAACATCATCTTCGTCTTCATCTTTCACGATCTTTCTGCTTGAGCCAGTGATGATGATGTGACTGTGTTTAGAAAGCCATGTTTGTTTGAACCGTTGGCCTAAGATTCATTGGTTATCAGTTTCTGTACCTTAAAAGCTTAAGGGAAAGCCGTGAGATTCCAACCACCCTCTAGGGTCAACCTTCATCATTTTTATCCTTCTCATCATCATCATCATCATTTTCCTCTTCTTCTTCTTCTTTTTCAGTAGTAAATTCAGCTTTTCCTTTCAGATCTTTTCATCTTGTCCAACTTTAACTCAGTCTTAATAGCAATCATGATAAACAACAAAGGTAAATATGAAGTTAAGAAGAGAGCCAAAAAAAAACAAAACAAAGAATCAAAAAATGATGCAAAGCCATTTCTACCTGTTCTTATCATTTTTGATTATTATCATTACTATTATTATAAACATTCAAATTGTTGATTCATCAACCATCATGACAACAGTTCACTTGATATCATGATTCATGAATAACCAAAATTGCAACCTGAAATTCAAGGTGAACCTTTTCTTTGGCTACCATCAAATAATCAAAAAAAAATATATTTATCTATCAACACAAACACAAGTCAATCTCACAGGTAGCATTCAATAAGGAAGAAAAAGAATGGAATGTAAGAAGATGATGAGGAAGAAGAAGAAAAAAGGAGAAGAGGGAGTCAAAAGAGAGTGATAAAACTGGTTGAACGACAGACTGAATGAAGGAGAAGATGATACCCGTGATGATAATGATGATGGTGATGAATAAACGAACGCAATAATACCTTGATTTGATTCCCAATGAAAACTTTTTTGCAGGAGTGAAAAATTAAAACCTGATTTCCAGGCTTAAAACAAATGAGACAAAAAAAGGTAAACAATTTCATTTTGTGTCCACAAAATTATGCAAATTAAATTTAATCAGTTGATCATGGTTTCCATATTATCCATGAAATTAACATTAAATCTTGATATCCATTTCTCTAGGCTCACAATCTTGGATTAAAAGCCAGTTTATCCCGTCTAATCGGTTCTTGCATTATCGGTTAATTTTGCATTACAAGAAACCAATTGAACTGCTCGAGTCTGGTCGAAGTCTTGAACTGTTCGAGTCGATTCCAGTGACTAAAGTTGATTTTGAGTATTAATTGTCAAACAAATCAACTCTGGCTCGATATACAATCATTTTGGATGAATAAATGTTCAAATACATCATTGAGTTATTTTGCATTAAATTGTAACAAGAAATGGGTTGAACTTGTCCAGTGATCTGAATCACTAAACAGGGTTCTAGGTGAATAAGAATCATTGGTCTTGTACTAATAAATGCGATCGTTCGATCAAGCTGAGGTTGGAACACTTGTTCATGTATTAGCTCTGGAATTACAATTATTCACATTGATATAAGTTGATAAAAATTTGTTCAACTTATGCATTGAACTGACTCAAAGGTTTTCAATGTTACAAAAATGTGACTAAACGATCAACGGTTTTACCGATGCAACACCATTGGGTTATTTTGCATTACTATTGTAATGAAAAATGAAGGTAAACCATTTTAATTGACTAATAAAGTTTCACTTTTTTAGCAACAGTTGAGATGGACCTTGATACACAATGGTATTTCCAAGTGAATCCACTTTTGCCGTTGTTTTTGCCAAGAAGACAAACATTTTGCACAGTTAGGCACAAAAATACTTGAAGCTAAATTACATTGTTTCATCTATTATTATCAAAAAACAAAAAATGGAACAGAAAAGATTAACATGAGAAAAGGTTTAAACCAAAAAGGTAATCCGTCTTGATACAATTTTTGGCCGCCATGGAAAGTTTCACAATTCAAAATGTGATCCAAATTGAAACAAATTAATCTTAATCTTACCAAGATTTCCTTATCCTTTTTACCAGGAAAAGAAAAGGATGCGAAAAGCTAATCTAACCTAATCTAACCTAAAACCTACTCCTCCTCCTCCACCTCCTTAATCATTTGTCTCTGTCGTAGACACAATCATGGAAAGCTCATCATCATTAACAATTAACATAAACACAAACCTTTCCTTTGCTTGCAAAAGAACGAGTAAAAATATTCTTGGAATGCTTTAAAGTTCTCAATGTTGATCTGAGACAAAAACTGTTTGCAAACAAAAGCAGTTCACCTAAGCAAGGCTTTAAAAAAGCTTTTGTCTTACCAAGTCTACTGTTATTATAATAATCATCATCATCAACTTTCCTCTCTTATTCACGACGAAACAACGTCTAATGTGTATAATCAGATTCTCATCATCATCCTCATCACAACCACAATCATCATCTTTTCTTGGCCAAGTGACAATTTAATTTAAATGATTGCCAACAACAAATTTCAAAACAATTTCTTCATCTTCATCTCGCCATCTTCGACACGCACACTTATTCATCCCTTAATCCATTGAAACCAAATCTGAATCATCGCCATTTCCACCAATTTATCATGATGAGCAAACAATTTGTAAATCACAACCAATTGTTATTCATTCACTGAATCACCTCAACAAACAAACTGTACATTGAACCAGAAAAAAAAGGAAAACAAAAGTAAACTTGATTTTGCTTTGATTTAACCAAACCATTTAATGATGAAAGTTAATAACTTTAGCCATCCTTTTCCACCTCAATCATCATCATCATTTGCTTTAATTAATACAATTTAAATTGCTCATCGGAATCTTGCCATTGAAATGTTATTCTTTTCATCATCCCTTAATTGCAGAGTTAAACAACAGTTAATCGTTATTGCAAATGATAATGGAAACTGAAATGAACAAAAAAAGATCGGCATTTCTTAATGATTTGCTTTTGATAACCTGAAGGCACAAGCGTCTTGGTTTGGCCTGGGAAATGTTTGCCCTTTCATCGCTTGTACACCTTTTAACCCTTGACAAATAGTCTCACCTAAAAAGAGTTTTAAATCGCAAATCAATTGTTTCATCAAAATTGGATTCCTTGACTCACGGACATTAGTAATTTACTGTTATTGAAATTGATTGGAATCAATTTTTCTTTATCATTTCAATGTTGTTTCAGTTTCTTAATAATGTATCTTGAGATCTTATGTTGGATGATGAATGATGAATTAAACATAAATTGTGTTCCCTTCCAACTCAATATCAGTTTACAGAATAACAAGGAATACCAAGAAAAAAGTTGATTAACCTTTAATCAAAAAGTTCTGCTCCAATCTGACAATGATACAGAATGCTTCTGTGGTTTACAATTTCATTGCATTTCTTTTCAAATGTTTCAGTTATTCATTGCACCATTGCAGTGACATTGAAACTCGCATATTCAACCAGTTTCATCATTCAAGTTGATTTCGTTCAACATTTTCTCATTAAAAAGTTAATACAAATTTAGACAAGTCAATCTAACTTGAAGCTTCATTTCGTGCAAAGTTTAACTGTAATAATGAATTGCCATCGACTATTTGCAATTGATTATTGTTTACTCAAGTTTCAATTTCAATTTCAAGAAATAAAAAAACAATTGATGAACAAAATTGTTGAATTCATTAGCTCGAAATGACCAAAAATAGTCGATCCTTTTTGTACACTGATTTAGACGAGAATCAAGATTTATAAAAATGCAAAATCGTAGTCATTTCATCAATTTAACAAAATGAAAAATTTTGTTCAACTTTTGACTTTTCATTTCTCTTTAAATGATATTCCAATCAATCAGCTTGATATCACTTTGCCCATCAAAAAGTGTCCAAAAAGGGCACCTCTAACCACTAATATGCAGAGTCCAATTAGATTTAAAATGATCGTCTGGTCAATCTTGTCTAATGACGATTCCTCCAATGTCATCTCTGTTCAATAACAAAATGTTGACTCTTCAATTGAACTGATAATTGCTTTAATACCTAAAGTTGATTTGATGCTAATAAACATTTCAACATTGAATATAAAAAATTGTTACCTTCTTTTGCAAAAGGCATTCATCATTATCATTCAATCCTATTGATAGCAAGTCCATTACAATGAAGGTAAGAAAAGGT